GCCCCACCCCAGACAGACCGACCCTTTGGATTCTAATTACATCCCACGGGGAGGTCTCTCATAGATTTATTATTCACTGCTCATAAGGGCAGGAGAAGGATATCATGTTTGGTAGGGCAGAGGGTCAGAGAAAAAGAAGACCCCCAATGAGAGATGGATTGGCCAGGTGGCAGCATCGATGGACTCAAGCGTGGCAACAATAGTGAGGTTGGCCCAGGATTGGACAGTGTTTTGTTCTGCTGTGCATAAGGTCGCTATGAGTTGGTACCGACTCGATGGCACTTAACAACAACAACAACAACACATAAGAGGGTGTCCAGGTTCTTTCACCATCTGCACTTTCTAGATATGTCCCCAGTTCTGAATCCTAACGTCAGGTTGTAGCTCCCCTCCTGTTACTCAGGTTCCTAGAAAAAGCCTTGTGGCCTTTTTCCACAGCTACAAATCAGGTTGTTACTGAGTGCCATCAAGTCGGGTCTGACTCATAGGGATCCTGTGTAGGGTTTCCAAGGAGCAGCTGGTGGGTTTAAACTGCGGTCCACTGCTGATCCACAGTGCCAAGCTAGTAGTCCACGAATCAGGTGGTGGTGTTAAGTACTATAGAGTTAGTTCCGACCCATAGGGACCCTGTATAGGGTTTCTGAGGAGCACCTGGTGGGTTTGAGCTGCTGATTTTGTCCACAGTGCCACACTGGAATCCACTAATTAGGTTTTAAGTGCCATCGAGTCAGTTCCGATCCATAGCGACCCTGTATAAGGTTTCCAAGGAGCGACTGATAAGCTTGAACTGCGAACCTTGGAAGACTTTGCAGTCCAGTGCATTAACCCATAGGGCTACGCCAGGACTCCACAAATCAGGTTGTTAAGTGTCATCGTTTTGGTTCTGACCCATAGCGACCCTGTATAGGGTTTTTGAGGAGTGGCTGTTAAGCTTGAACTGCCGACCTTGCAGTTCAGTGTATTAACCCACAGTGCCACGCCAGCCTTGGATAAAATAGGTGGAATGCTCAGGGGCTTCTGAGCTGCTGTGGGGGCACAGAACTCTTCCTCCTCCTCTTCCTCCTCTTCCTCCTCTCAGTCTCCCCTCTCCCTCCGTCCCTTCTCTCTGCCACTTTTGGGGGCTGGGGTAGGAGGGCTTTCTGAGTCCACACTGTGTGCTCATTTTCCTGACTGGGGGCCTGGACCTGCTGATCAATCGGAAACTGCCCAAGGGAAGGTAGTTCCATGGTGATAGCAGGCATCTGGTGACTACCGCTGCCCATTAATGACCCCCCTAAAGTGGGTCTTGCTGCTCAAAGGAGGGTGAGGTGCAGCTGCAGGTGGGAGCCTAATCTAGCTTGCAGGGCCTTGCAGACACTAGAAACAAGCTCCTCACACTAAGGAAGGGAGGCTCAAGAGGAGCCTCACTCACTGACTTTTCGCAACAGTACCTTTTCTTGCCATTGTTCTCCAACATGGAAAATCTTGAGGTGGGGTCCAGGAGAAGGTTCTTTGATCTGACTGTGGTCACTGTGGGCATCCATTGAGAGAAATTGTTCTGCCCTTTGCTCCTGAACAAGTCACCTCACCCCTCTGAACCTCAGTTTCTTCATATGTAAAAGGAGCAAAACAATTTTAACACTGAAGGAGGAAACCTTGAGTTGTAAAGCGCCTTCGAGTTGGTTCTGACTCATAATGAACCTTGTATAGGATTTCCGAGGAGCAGCTGGTGGGCTTGAACTGCCGACTTTGTGGTTTGCAGAGCAGTGCTTATCCTGCAGTGCCTCACAGCTGCTCCCACTGTTGTTGTGCAGTGCAGCCTCTGGTGGGGGGAGTGTGTGTTCAGACTGTGACTTTGCCTGGAAGAAGGACTTATGTCCCCAAGTTTACCCCAGTGTTGGAGGTCTTGAGGGCCCAGGTCTTGTACCATCATGTCACCCCACCTCTGGTACCCTCTCCCTCACTATTCATGGCAATGTAGCCATCTGGGGGGTGGGTAGTAAGGCCACTCGCTTTGTGGTGGGTCGCCTCTCTGTAAAATACACTTGTGGAGACCAGGGTCCTGGAGTGGTCTTAAGGGCAGAGGGTTTGGCAAGACTTTAGAGAGGAGACCTATGAGGCAAGACTTGGACTAAGTAAGTATCTGAGAGGAGAGGAAGGGGGAGGGTATAGGCAGAAAGGGGGCAGGTGTGTGTGTGTTGGGGGGGGGGTTGAGGAACCTAAGGGCTAGGGGATTAAGCTGGACTAGAAGGAGCCCAGGGAGTGATTGGGGTGGAGGTGGGGGTCCCACCCCTGATTCTCCCCGCCAGCTAAGCCAAAGCCAAGCCCCTCTGGCTGCCTCCCCCGCCACAGTTCGAAGGTCACCATCTCTCTACCAAGAGGGCCTCTTTCTGCCCCTCCTCCCAGCTCCACTGCCTGCCTCTTCTCCCCCTCCTGGTCCTTTCCTAGTGCTCTTGAAAAGTAATCATAATCATAATAATTAATAACAACCGAGCCCACGGCAGGCCCCAGGCCGCTCTTAAAGAGGCAGAGCTCCATTTTCTCCTGGCAGAGCTTGTGATGCTTTGAAGTCTAGCCTTTGTTCCCTCCCGTCGGGGGTGGAGGATGGTGTTGGGGCGAGCAGTTTTGCCTGCGTTCTCCATCAGACACTGGGCTTCTCGTGTTTTAATTGAACTGTCTTTTCTTAGAGATAGATGCTCTCACTGCATCCAGCTGCTAGTGTGTTTTGGGAAGCCCGTCTGTAATACAGCTCGGCTAAGTGAAAAGACAGCTGGACTGATTAAACAAGGGGGGACCGTGGACAGAGCAGACTGGGCGGGGGGTTGGGGGTGGGGTGGGGGCATGGCGAGGCATAATAGCGCCCACGCACGCGCTCTCTCTTTAAATAATGTTTCTGGTAATGCATTTTGGAGAATGTGAAAAAAAAAAAAAAAGCAAGCTCTAGAAATGTTAATGATATCCACAGGACACTCAGCAGGAAATGAGAACGATCTGGGACTAATAAAAGCTGAAATGTAATTTGTGCAGATATACAAGGCTCAGCCTTCATTGCTGTCCTGGGTCTTTGAGTTCTGGACTCATAAATATGGACTGGGTGGGGCAGGGGCTGGGCTCACCCTCAGAGCTGCTTGCTGCCCTGCTGTGGCTTCATGAAACCAGGTGGCAAGGTGGAAATCAGGCACTCCAAGGAAGCAGGGTTAGGAGGCGCAAGACTGCCCACCTGGCAGGGAGCTGCCAGGCCAGAGTGAAAAATCTACCTGGCAGCTCTTGTAGTGTGTGATCCAAGCTGCCGAAGATGGGATGGAAGTAGGTCATGAGGGCAGCACTGTGATAAATCCCGAGGAGGGAGTGAGGGGAGACTTCTGGCTGAGGGACCAGCAGGCAGGAGGCTCATTCGGTGAAGCACTGGTCCCCCCACATTGTGGACAACTTCCTGGTCACCCCCACCCAAGTCTGCAGTACCTCTCTTCCAGGCGTCAAGGCTAGCTAACGTCACAGGACAGAGGGTGGGCCCGCGGCTCTCCTAGCAAGGCTCCTGATTGGCTGTGCTGGGCAGACCCCTCCTCTGGCTCCTTCCCTGGAGCAGCCCCCAGACACTGCACTGAGTCTGGTCTATGGTGGGTTCTGGGCCACAGGAAGAGGGGTGAGTCTGCACCTCCCCTCTGTGGCCCCATCTCTGTTGTGTCTCTCTGTATCTTCCTCTGTTGCTCCCTCTTTCTTCCTTTCTGACTCTCCTAGAACCTTAGAATGTCTGCAGCTTGGGGTAAACCACCCCTTCCTCTTTCAGCCTTTAGGAATGAGAGCTGGAAAGTCCCTGCCCTCTACGGGGCCCCGGCCAGGTGCCCAACATTATCACAGGGTAAATCCCAAAGCCCTCAGGACTTTACCAACAACAGCCAGACCCTCAACAAGATCCCTGGTCCAGTGCCCAGCACATTCCTCCCCTCCTCCTCCAGCTTTATTCAGTGTTTTCAGAGGGGGCGGCATTCTGGCCTGCCTGTCAGCTTGAGAACCTTCTGCCTATTTAGTGAATCCAGTTGTTCAGCTCTGAAAGGCCCCCACTCCACCCAGGTCATTTCCTGACCTAGAATCCGGCTTCAGCCGGCTCGACCCCATCCAGGTCTGACCCTAAAATCATAACCAGATGCATGAGGGGCTGCAGTGTGCCCTAGCCCTGACCCTGCAGAGGCAGGGAGGGAGTACAGCCTCATGTAGGTGCAGGGCAAGGCCTTGTGGATGTGTGTCCCTCATTAGTATGCACACTCTCACTCCAGGCCACATAATCTGTTTATGTACCTACGATATCAAAACCAGGCAGGTGTCCCCACCCCGCTTCCCTGCAGGTCGGAGCAGGGACGATGTCTGCCTCCAGTGGCTCAGGGCCCCTAATTGTCTTCTGTGAAAACAGATTCCAGATGGTGTGGCCTGTGTGTGTGCACATGTGCCTGGTGTGATCTCTGCAAGCATGAATGCCTGCTTCTGTGTGCGTGTGTGTCTGTATGAACACGTGTGTGTGTGTGTGTAGGGGCAAACTCTCCTAGGACCTGTGTCACGCATTAAGGATGGAGCACAGGGACTACATGACAGGATCCATCAGGCCCCCAGGGACAAGGGAGCTGGAATTGCTCTCCTCAAAGCTGGGGAGCTGTCAGAACAGGGCTGGGGGAGTGGGAGGGGCTGGGCAGGGGCTGGGGGTGGCAGTTGGCTTGGGACCTGCAGGCAGGCAGCCTGACACTGGGTGGCCAGTTTGCATCTCCTTGTTGGTGGATGTCTTTGGCAGGGCTCAGCTGCAGGGAATGTGGGAGCAGGAATACAGTGCCGCCTCCCTGACACAGAAGTTGTCAATATGTGCACAGCTGGTGGGAGGCTCAGGCAGGGCAACTGTGCAGAGCTGTTTCCAGCAGGAAGGATGGGGAGGGGAGGCTGCCTTCTGGGGCAGGAGGAGGTGGCTGGCCCATCTGAATCGTCTCTCTGCCTCCCCACCCCTCTGCCTCCCCCTTTCTTTTCACAGATAACCAGCCCGAGTCATGCAGTCTTTTCGAGAAAGGTGTGGTTTCCATGGCAAACAGCAGAATTACCAGCAGACCTCACAGGAGACATCACGCCTGGAGAATTATAGGCAGCCGAGTCAGGCCGGGCTGAGCTGTGATCGGCAGAGGCTGCTCACCAAGGACTATTATAACCAGCAGCCTTACCCAGGCTACGAGGGTGGCACAAGTACACCCGCCAGCTCAGCAGCGGCTGTGGTGACCGAGAAGTACCACCGAGGCAGCAAAGCCTTGCCCTCACAGCAGGCTCTGCAGGGGCGGCCAGCTTTCCCCAGCTACAGTGTGCAGGACAGCAGTGCATACCCAGGCCGCTACTCGAGTGGGGAGGAGAGCCTGCAGGCTTGGGGGGCCCCACAGCCACCACCCCCGCAGCCACAGCCTCTGCCTGGGGGCGTGGGCAAATATGATGAGAGTTTGATGAAAAAGACAGCGGTGCCCCCCAGCAGGCAATATCCGGAGCAGGGTACCCAGCTGCCCTTTCGGACTCACTCCCTCCACATGCAGCAGCCCCAGCAGCCCTTGGTATACCCCAAACTCCAGAGGCAGAAGCTGCAGAACGACATCACCTCGCCGCTGCCCTTTCCCCAGAGCAGTCACTTTCCCCAGCACTCCCAGTCCTTCCCTGCGTCCTCCACCTACTCCCAGTCTGTCCAGGGTGCTGGGCAAGGGACCCACTCCTACAAGAGCTGCACGGCACCATCCGCCCCGTCCCATGACAGGCCGCTGACGACCAACGTCAGCTTGGCCCCCGGGCAGCGGGTCCAGAACCTTCATGCCTACTCGTCTGGCCGCCTCAGCTATGACCAGCAGAAGCAGCAGCAGCAGCAGCAGCAGCAGCAGCAGCAAGCCCTTCAGAGCCGGCACCATGCCCAGGAAACCCTCCATTACCAAAATCTCACCAAGTACCAACACTATGGGCAGCAAGGCCAGGGCTACTGTCAAGCAGACACAGCTGTCCGGACTGCCGAGCAGTACTACCAGACCTTCAGCCCGAGCTCCAGCCACTCGCCCGCGCGCTCCGTGGGCCGCTCCCCGTCCTACAGTTCTACCCCATCACCACTGATGCCAAACCTAGAGAACTTTCCCTACAACCAGCAGCCGCTTGGGACTGGGGCCTTCCCCGCTGGTATCACTGACCACAGCCATTTCATGCCCCTGCTTAATCCCTCTCCCACGGATGCCACCAGTTCCGTGGACCCCCAGGCTGGCAACTGCAAGCCCCTGCAGAAAGACAAGCTCCCCGAGAGCCTGCTGTCAGATCTGAGCCTGCAGAGCCTCACAGCCCTAACCTCCCAGGTGGAGAACATCTCCAACACTGTGCAGCAGCTGCTGCTCTCCAAGGCCACTGTACCACAGAAGAAGGGGGTCAAGACCCTCGTGTCCAGGACCCCGGAACAGCTCAAGAGCCAGCACTGCAGCCCTGAGGGCAGCAGCTACTTGGCCGAGCCGGTGGGCACACCACTGTCGGAACCACTGAGCAGCACTCCGCAGTCCATCCATGCCGAGCCCCCGGAGGCCGACTACCTCAGTGGCTCCGAGGACCCTCTGGATCGAAGCTTCCTCTACTGCAACCAGGCCCGTGGCAGCCCTGCCAGGGTCAACAGCAACTCTAAGGCCAAGCCTGAGTCCGTGTCCACCTGCTCTGTGACCTCACCGGACGACATGTCCACCAAGTCTGATGACTCCTTCCAGAGCCTGCACAGCAGTCTGCCACTAGACAGCTTCTCCAAGTTCGTGACAGGTGAGCGTGACTGCCCACGGCTTCTGCTCAGTGCCCTGGCGCAGGAGGACCTAGCCTCTGAGATCCTGGGGCTTCAGGAAGCCATGGGCGAGAAGACCAGTAAGGCCTGGGCTGAGGGGCCTGGGCTGGCCAAGGATGCCAGCAAGCCAACCTTCTCTCTGGAGAACCACAGCGCCTGCTTGGACCCTGGGGTCAAGAGTGGGTGGCCACGACCTGGGGAATCAGAGACCCTGCCAGACCCCTTGCAGTTGGACAAGAGCAGCGGCACCAAGGAATTCAGCCCAGGGCTGTTTGAGGACCCCTCCATGGGTTTCAACACCCCTGACCCCAAAAAGACGACCGGGTCCCTCTCCTTCAGCACCAAGACCCCCCTTGGGGTGACCCCTGCGGACCCTGCCTCAGCAGCCTTCGACTGCTTCCCGGACACAGCCACCACCAGCTCAGCAGATGGCGCCAACCCCTTTGCCTGGCCCGAGGAGAACTTGGGTGATGCCTGCCCCCGCTGGGGACTGCACCCTGGTGAGCTCAACAAGGGCCTGGAGCCCGGTGGGAAGGCCTCAGAAAGCATCATTAAAGAGGGTGCCCAGGAGGCGCCCGCCTGCCTCAACTTCCAAGGGGAAGAACCTGTCGGGGAGAAGGCAGCCTTGCCAGGGGACTTCAAGCAGGAGGACGCGAGTGGGGTGAAGGAAGAGGCTGGGGGTCTGCTGCAATGCCACGAAGTAGGCAAGGCCGACCGGTGGCTGGAGGAGAGCCGGCACTGCTGCACTACCACCGACTTCGAGGACCTTCCGCTGCTGCCGCCCACCAGCAGGAAGGAGGATCTGGAGGCTGAGGAGGAGTACTCTTCCCTGTGTGAGCTCCTAGGCAGTCCGGAGCACAGGCCCAGCCTACAGGACCCGCTGTCCCCCAAGGCCCCTCTGGCCTGCACCAAGGAGGAGGTAGAAGAGGCCCTGGACTCAAAGGCTGGCTGGGGCTCACCCTGCCACCTGTCTGGGAACTCCGTCATACTGCTGGGCCCCACCGTGGGTGCTGAGTCCAAGGTCCAGAGCTGGTTCGAGGCCTCCCTGTCCCACATGAAGCCTGGTGAGGAAGGACCTGAAGGTGAGCGGGCGCCAGGAGACACTGCCACCCAAGACACCTCACTGGCCCCAAAGCTCAACAAGCCTGCCGTGCCAGACACCCCCATTGCCAAGAAAGAGCCGGTACCTCGGGGCAAAAGCCTGCGGAGTCGGCGGGTGCACCGGGGGCTTCCTGAGGCCGAGGACTCCCCATGCAGGGCGCCGGTACTGCCCAAAGACCTTCTGCTTCCCGAGTCCTGTGTAGGACCCCCCCAGGGGCAGATGGAAGGGGCAGGGCCCCCAGGCCGTGGTACCTCAGAAGGGCTCCCCAGGATGTGCACACGCTCCTTCACAGCCCTGAGTGAGCCCCGCACGCCCGTCCCCCCAGGCCTGCCCACCACCCCTGCACCTCCAGATCGGCTTGGGGGCAAGCAGCGAGCGGCCTTCAAGTCAGGCAAACGGGTGGGCAAGCCCTCGCCCAAGGCCGCGTCTAGCCCCAGCAATCCTGCTGCCCTGCCCATGGCTTCTGACAGCAGCCCGATGGGCTCTAAGACCAAGGAGCCAGACTCCCCCGGCGTCCCTGGAAAAGACCAGCGCTCCATGATCCTCCGCTCTCGCACCAGGACCCAAGAGGCCTTCCATGCCAAGCGGAGGCGGCCAGTGGAGAACCGGCTACCCAACTGCCGTACCGCCAAGAAACTCCTTACCAACAACCATCTGCCTGCACCCTTCAAGGCCTCTGGCAGCCCCCAGAAGGAGGGCCGGGTAGGCCAGCGGGCACGAATTCCCAAGCCTGGCGGGAGCATCGGTAAGGCATCAGAGCGGCCTCTGCATGCGCTCAAGCGGAAGGCCTCCTTCATGGCACCCGTCCCCACCAAGAAGCGCAGCCTCGTGTTGCGGAGCAGTGGCAGCAGCTGCAATGGGGACACCCACGAGGAGAAGGCCGAGGGCGCCCTCGCCCTCTTCAAGAGGTTGTCTTCTCCCAAGAAAGCCAAACTGGTCAAGGGTACTGGTGGTGAGCCCCTTGCCAAGCCCCCGCCCCCAGAGACCCCCAGCGTCTGTATCAAGATGGCCTCAAGAGCGGCGTTCCAGGGGGCCATGAAGACCAAGGTGCTGCCCCCCCGCAAGGGCAGGGGCCTGAAGCTGGAGGCCATTGTGCAGAAGATCACCTCGCCCAGTCTCAAGAAGTTTGCGTGCAAAGTGGCTCCTGGGGCCGCACCTGCTGACCCCCTGAGCCCGGCCCTCCCTGAGAAGGATCGGGGGTTCAAGAGCTTGGGAGGCAGCCCTGCAGGGACAGAAGATGGCCTGCTAACCCCTGGTGTGGGACAGAAGCTCCCCACAGCTCTGGGGGCTGACCCATTATGCAGAAATTCAAACAACAGATCCCTAAAAGGCAAACTCATCAACAGTAAGAAGCTGTCCTCAAGTGACTGTTTCAAAACGGAGGCCTTTACATCCCTGGAGGCCCTGCCACCTGGAGGGACTCCCTTGACATCTAAGAAGAGAAGCAGGAAGGGCAGGGCCGGAACTCTGGGACTCCCTAAGGGCTCTCTGGATAAACGGCCCCACCTGGGCCCAGCTCTGCTCCCGACCCCCCGAGACAGGGCCAGTAGCATTCAGGGGGATGATGATGAGGTCTCTGGTGGAGGAGGCAAAAAGCCAAAGATGGAGGAGTTGAGCCTGTACTCCCAGTGCTCTGAGGGCCTGCCTGGCCAGCCCCAGACCAGGGCACAGAAGCAGCCTAGTCATGTCAACTACAGCAGCTATTCCAAGCGGAAGCGGCTCACACGGGGCCGGGCTAAGAACGCCACCTCCTCGCCCTGTAAGGGGCGTGCTAAGCGGCGGCGGCAGCAACAGGTGTTGCCCCTGGATCCTGCGGAACCTGAAATCCGCCTCAAGTACATTTCCTCCTGCAAACGACTCCGGGCTGACAGCCGGATCCCTGCCTTCTCCCCCTACGTGCGGGTGGAGAAGCGAGATGCATTTACAACTGTATGTACTGTTGTCAATTCTCCCGGGGACGAGCCCAAGTCCCACAGGAAGCCTTCGTCCTCCACCTCCTCCTCTTCTTCCTTATCCACATTCTCCTTGGACGTGGCTGGAGCCTCCCTGGCCATGCTTCCTGGAGGCTCTGTCCTCCAGCCCCAGCCCTCCCTGCCCCTCTCCTCCACCATGCACCTGGGGCCTGTGGTCTCCAAGGCCCTTAGTACCTCTTGCCTTGTTTGCTGCCTCTGCCAAAACCCAGCCAACTTCAAGGACCTCGGGGACCTCTGCGGCCCCTACTACCCTGAACACTGCCTCCCAAAAAAGAAGCCAAAACTCAAGGAGAAGGTGCGGATGGAGGGTACCTGCGAGGAGGCCTCCCTGCCCCTAGAGAGAACACTCAGAGGCCTCGAGTGTGCTGCCGCTGCCGCTGCCACCGCCACCGCCACCGCCACCACCACCACCGAAAAGCCCCCCAGGCCTGAGGGCCCAGCTGACCCAGCCAAGCAGGGCTCACTGCGCATCAGTGCCCGGGGCCTGTCCAGGCGGCTGCAGAGCTGCTACTGCTGTGATGGCCAGGGAGATGGTGGTGAGGAGGCAGCCCCAGCTGACAAGAGTCGTAAGCATGAGTGCAGCAAAGAGGACCCGGTGGAGCCCAGCGGAGGCACCCAGGAGCACTGGGTGCACGAGGCCTGTGCTGTGTGGACAGGCGGGGTCTACCTGGTGGCCGGGAAGCTCTTTGGGCTACAAGAGGCCATGAAGGTGGCTGTGGACATGGTAAGAGGCAAGCCCATCCCAAAGCAGGGAGCTCAGGGTTCTCAAGGCCAAGAGCTCCTTGTCTCTCAAACATGCCCATGCCACACACATTTAAGAATGTCCCCACACTTGGAGCACCATCTGGGGAGCCCAGGGACTGGCTATGCTTACAGGCTGACCACCACATTCCTGCCCATGCTGCCCCACTATCCAATATGCCCATGCTGCCTGGCAAGCCTGGGGTCCATTCACCTTTACCCAAACCTTCTGACTCCATCCAGCCTTTCTCCTGAGGGGACCAGAATAGACCATAAGGCAGCCCAAGGCCAGCCCTCAAAGGCAAGTTGTCTGCCCCAGGTACCAACTCTTCACCTGTAAACGGAGCTAGATGCTTCGAAGACCCCCCCAGGAATAACAAATAGTTGTGACATGCCCTTGGTGACAGGACCTTGTCCACCTGGACCTAGGAACCAGCTAACCCATGGCAGGCTTCCAGGGAGCTCTTCTACATGGCTCTATAAGCAAAAACCGGAGCTGGTCTTCAAGTTCCATTGCCACACCTCATGGAGGCGCTGTGAGGATTCAAGGGTTAATCCCCCTATAGAACAGTGCCTGGTATGTATTTAGTGCCCTGCCCTGCTGTGGGATCAGCACGGGACTGTTCACTGCAAGCTCCTTGGAAACCCTGTACGGGGCCACTGGGCAGCACTTCACAACCCTTTGATACTGAGATCCTGGTAGCCGTAGAAGCAGGGGTGTTACTATCGCTGTCTCTGGTCACTGCCAGACTCCCAGTATTCATGATGGCCCCCTGCCAAGGAAGAGAGCTTGAAGCAGCTCAGAGGGACCAACAAAGCACTGCTTACCCCCACAGGCCTGTCTCATGTTAGCTCCAGGGGACTAGAAGTCAGCACCCTGCCTCCACAATGACACCCCAGCTCAGGAGTGTTCTTCCTCCCCCATCCAGGCTCCCCCATTCACGCACTCATGAACTCATCCGCTCACTCTGCTGAGTGCTCCCTGACCCCTGCTCTTGGGTAGACAGTCTGATAGAGGACCAGCGCTTGTCTGGGAAGGAGGAGAAACCAGGTTGTGTCAGGGCTGGTTCTGGGCCTTGGGCAGCTTCCTGCATCTCAGGAGCTTGGTGCCTGGAAGGAGCTACATTACCCTGGGCCTCTGGCTTCCCTTCACTCCTCCCCACATGATGCCCACCACCCCTCTGTTTTGCTCCCTTCTCCGACCTCCCTGCAGCTGCTCTCCACCCTGCATTGTCACCACACCTGGGAAAGCCACCCTCCAGACCGTCCCATCCATCAATGCCTGGTTCAGTCCCCCACAGCCCAGGGGTAGGCTAGAGACCTTTTTTTGGCCCCTCACAGGCCTGGGCCCCCCTCTTCCCTTCTGAAGTATTCCTTTCCCTCACTCCTGCTTTCCTCATGCATCTCTGGCTTCTTCCAGCCACCTTTCAATAGCCTCCAGTCTCGCCCATCACTGAAGATAACAATAACCACTCCTGAAAAGTGTCTGCACCTGTCTGTTTGGACTGACCTCCAGTTCACCCCACAGCTCCTTGCTCAGGCTCCTGTTGGACCGTGTGCCTGTGGGTCTCAGCCCAGCACCCCCGCGTCCAGTGCCTTCCCTCTCCCCATGGCTCTGGCACCATGTTTGCTTTGAGCCCAGCTCCTGCTTCCGAGGCGTGGACCCCTCTGTCCTGGCCTGCGTTGCGATTTGGTGCAGCACTTAGCTGAGCAGCATCCAGCAATTATGTGCCAAGCTGCTTGCCTCTGGGAGCATCCCCAGAAAGGTCAGAACAGAGAAGCCACAGGCATCAGGTGCTTGCCAGTGTGGGCCTCCCTTCTGGAGAGGGTGAGTGTAGCATCTTCACAGCACCCCAGCAAGGGGAAGGTAGGGCTTCCTTGGCTCCTGTCTGCACCTCCCCTTTCCAGAGGCTCGGGGCCACCGCCCAGTCCACCTGTCGTCCAGCACTCTGGACACCTTCTGTCCCTGCCAGGCCCCTTAGCCCTGGAAGCCTAGAGGCAGCACAGTCACCAGAACACCACTAACGGCTGGGTTGCGACTTAGGCATAGCACTCACCTCTGGGAGCCTCCCCCCTAGGACATGCTGGCCCCGGTGACCAGGCTGCAGGGTCAGACTCAGGATAGGGGCTCTGGGAGGAGGTGTCCCCTCACCCCATTGTACCTGCTGACCCTTTGGAGGGACAGAATGACTGTGAGATCCTGAGGATACCTTCTTCCCTCAATGTTCCTGCAGCCTGTCCTTTCCTGGAACCCCTACAAAGCCCGTTTTCTCTGAGTCCTGGCCACACCTACCTTCTGGAAACTGTTTCCCAGTCTGCCCCCAGCAAGTGTGCCTTTCCACAGGGTTGATTCAGGCCCCTGTCTCTCCTCCAAGGTGCCTGGTCCCTTGGAAGCTTTAGGGTGAGGGGAAGTGGATGTGACATGATGAGGCCCCAGTTTGGGGCTCCTGCCTTCTCCAACATGAGCCTTGTGGTAGCAGGGGTGGGCCTGACACCTTCATCTCTCCCCTGCCTCAGTTTCTTCATCTCAAAAGTTGGTGGCTTGAAACCTTCACTCAATTCACAATAAAAAAGTTTAAAAATGAAACGGGCAGCATTTATATGCCTACCTCACAGATTGCTGAGGGGGCTCAGTCCCCCACCAGGCAGAGCAGCCCCCAGTTAACCTTTACACATACAGACACCCAAGGACCGCTTTGACACAGGAGACTTGAGCCTGGTCTGGGCCTGTCTCATGCTTCGTCACCTCTCTGTGGGTCAAACATGGGGAGGATCTTTAGCCCAGAGCCCACAGACCACATGGGAGGAGGCCCCAGCCCTGCCCAAAAGGAAACTGCCTGTTCAGAGGGGTCCTATGGACCACTGATGGTATAGCTCTCCCAGCCTCAGCTCTGGGCACTAGAGAGGGCATTCTCAGGCATTGTCAAGTGCCATGGAGTCAGTTCCTACTCATAATAGTGTCCCTGTGTAGGGTTTCCAAGGAGTGGCTGGTGAGTTTGAACTGCCAGCCTTGTGACTCAAACTGACCTTGAGGCTGGGTGCCATACCAGGACCCCATTCTTAGGCTAAGAATGTTGTCCTTCCCCAGTTTTGGCAGATCCTTACTCATTGCAGCACAGGCCACCGTTATAAGCATGGGCCCTAGAGTCTAACCCTGCTGCTCAGTTTCTTTACTGGTAGGCTGGCTCAGTGCAAGAAGCGGAGCACCGGCCTCTGCTGGCCATTAACATGGAGCTTCCATGGGCCTAGCTCGTGAGCTTTCCTCCCATGTTTCAGTGGCTGACCTTCTGGGTGAATGGAACCAAGTGGCTTCCCTTGACCTCTCACAGACCCTGCCCCATAAGGGGGCTGTGGTTGTGGGGTCTTTGTAATCTGTGGCCAGTCCTTGGACTTGCATTTTTGTGTTGCTCATCCAAGAGTTTCCTTGGCATTGCCCTGTTGTCCATTAAGGCAGCTGGATCAGACCCAGTGGGGCCCACAAGGTCAAGGAACCCACATTTGGGTAGCCAACGTTTACATGAGCTCAGCATCACAGGAGATTGGCTTGAGTCCTGGCCCTGGATGTAGTCTGCAACCTTAAAGGGAGGAAACCATGCTGATGACATCATTTGACTGGCATGGGAGCCTCAGTTTTACCATCTGTGAAGTGGGATGTATGAAAGTCACCCACTTTGAAGTCATGTTAAGAGGATGAAGACACACACACGACTCACCTGGGTCCCAGCACCCAGAAGCACTCACAGACAACTGGCTGGCATTGTTGGGATTATCTCATTGAATCATCACAAGCACCCTCAGCAGGGAAGCACCATCACTATGACAGATGAGGAACTGAGGCACAAGAGAGTTTGAATTGCTCATCTGACATCAGGCAGCACAGAAGGGCAGAGCTGGGATTTGAATCCAGGTCTTTGTGAATGCAAGACCCGTAAGCTTACTCAGTAACAGTCATTTCCCAGCCCTGAGATTCCCCCCACCCCATAGCATCAGCCTAGGGGCTGTCAAAGAATCAGACTTGCTGGGCATCTGCACCTCAGCCCTAACTCACCTTTGGGGGCTGGAGGCAGGGATCAGGGTCCTATCTAAAAGCTCACTGGGCTCTAGTGGAGACTCACCTGCCAACCCCTTCTCTTCACTAGACATGTTCCAGCTGCCAAGAAGCCGGGGCCACCATCGGATGCTGTCACAAAGGATGCGTCCATACCTACCATTACCCGTGTGCCAGTGATGCCGGTAAGACCAGCCTGTCTGGATGGAAGTGCCCTGGAGTCCTTGCAACCATGCCCTGTGACTTCTCCCCTGCCTAAGGGGTTCTTTATCTCCTTGCCTCCCCTCTATCTGGGCATGTGCTAGGAATGCTAGGGGCATGAAGATGAGACCTTCCCCAGGCTCCCATTTAAGGACTGTCAAGTCTAAGGGGAGTGAAAGGCATCTATTATAAAGCAGAGAGCTGTTCAAGAAGCTGTCATTGCTAAGGAAGGGGGTACTGAGGCTAGGCCTCTGAAGAGTGAATAGGAGTTCTCTGGGCTTAGTTAAAGGGAAAGTGCACCCAAAACAGAATGCCTTGGAAGGAGATGAAATTCAAAACCGAGACTGAGGCCTAATTGTCTTGTGTTGATGCTGGAGAGTGTCTGTGAAGTTTTAAACAGGGAGATAGGATCTGGAAGTGGCAGCAGGTTCCATGTCGTTACTCTGCTGTGCTCTTCTCCCATGCGCTGAACACCGGCTAAGTGTCAGGCACACAGGAACAGCCTGCAGGGGCCTTAACCCTCACTCAGGTCAGGAAAGCAAGGCTCACAGACAATTACTACTCCATCCAGAAGAAGTTGCTGAAGGTGGCATTTTAGAGGGTTGGGGCCAGTTTTTTGTATGGATTCAACCCTGGTAGCATTTTTACTGTGTGACCTGGGCAGATACAGTGTCCCCATCTGTACAATGGGGGCATAAACAGTTGCTTCTTTTCAGTTATTCTGTTACTTAGAACACACAAGCCTTGGTTCATATGAGGAAATCAGGAAATGTAATCTCAATCCACATGACCTCTGTCCCCCTCCCTGTGGTCACCCCATCCCCTACCAGGTGAACTTCCTAGATGTGGCCTGAGGTGGGGAGGGGGCTGCAGCTCCCTCCATCCCTATGTCTGCTTCACCCAATAGCAGCAGGACCGTCCCATTGTCTGGAGAGCAACTGCTCCTCCCAACCTGCTGCACACTCCTGCTTTGCTGGGTGAGGGGCCACTCAGTTCCCCCAGTCTGCTCTTTCCCTGCCCACTGGATGCCACCCAGGCTCTGAGTGGTGGCAGCTCCATGGAAGCCCCCCCTGCCCCCGCCATGAGCATTGTAAACCAGACTTTAACCAAGACTGCCACTTACACTGAACTGATTGCCACTGAAGGTCGTGGTGACGGCCCTCAGTGTGATTGTCCTAGTGCCTCCTTGGTCCCATGCCCTTACATTGGCACCTGTGTTACCTACCTCTGGATGCTCCATTTCAGGGAGGTTGGCTCACCCAGGGTCACACTGCGTACAGTCTACCAGAACCAACTGAATGGTTTAAACCAAACCCACCACCGGTGAGTCGATTCCAATGCATGAATAATCTATAGGACAGAGAACCTCGGAGTGGCTGGTGGGTTTGAAGTGTGTACCTCGCAGTTAGCAACCCAGCTGTTAGTCTTCTGCAGTACCAGGGCTAAGTAGCAGGTCTGTGTTGTTTCTGACGTGGTGGGAGTTGTAGTCTGGTGTCAGATCTGGTGTAAGACAACCCAGGATGGCCTTGGCTGGAGGCAAGTCTCTGCTCCAATACCAGCCCAAGTCCAAATGGTGACAGACCCTACTTCCTAATGGGGTGTCTTCAGATTCCATTGCACAAGGCCTGGATACTGGAATGGGAGACTTGGACAGACTGGGTATGGTCACAACCGGATTCTGGAGAGAGTCTTACCAGTCACCAGAAGTTAGCCATAGAGGGAGGAGGCCACTGGGAAACTGAGGAGCTACAGCCAGAGCAGGTGGGGGGCAGGAGGGGAGGGAAGAGAGGCTTCCGGAGGCAGGGAGGGCCCGTGGGTCCCCTGGTTGTTCGGCCAGGAGAGGCTGGGGGTAAAGGGGAACTGATGAAGAGCTGGCCAGGCTGACCTGATGTTGGATTCACAGGTGTATGTTAGCATGCGTCACACCCATGGAGACAGCTCTGGGTGTCTGGGTCGGGCTGCCAGCCTCTGCCCTTGCTGCTGCCCTGGCCCAGAGCTGCCCACTCCCATGTCCAGGGGCACTTTTCTGGAGAAAAACTTCAATGCCACAGTCCTGGTATGGTGCTGTAGGATCACCCCAAAGTCAGCAGTTCAAACCCACCAGCCACTCCTTGGAAACCCTATACAGTGTTCCTATGAGTTGGAATCAACTCGACAGGACTTAACAACCACCAGAGGCCAGAAGAGGCTGCCAACATGGTGGCACCACCTGGAGCCAGAGAACCAGGAGGAAGTGGGGGTGCTCATGTGTAGGCTTCGTCAAAACAATGCTGGCAAGGCCTGGGGAGGAAGGGCGAGCTGGAATAGAGCCAGGTGGAAGAGGTGGGGGCGCCCGTGGGGAAAGCCAGGGCCTCCCAAGGCAAGAAGGAGAGCAGAATTCATTCCCAGCATGCTCGCCGACCCTTCAGCTGGGCAGTGCTCCTCAATACCAGACACATTCAGTCCAAGTTCTCCCTGATCCTCCTCCTGCCCCCTGTTTGGCAGGGCTCCCTTGCTAGGCTAGAAGCGGGCAGCCCCTGAGCACCTCCCCATGCCAGAGCCATGTCAGTGGCTTACACTCCCCCATGAGCAGGTACAAGGAGGTGGCATCATGCCCATTTTACAGATGTTGGAATCAAGGTTCAAAGAAGTAGTAGCCAATAAGTAGATCTGGTATTCAAATCCAGATATGTGACTCTGTTTCCCCATCAATCAGCAAACCTTCATAGAGTCCTCAATGGGGGGTCAAGCCATCTTCTAGGGCCTGGGGCTGTGTATCCCCTGAACCAGGCAAGGCTGATTAGCATACCAGCACAGTGCACTGGGGCAGTAACAAATACCACCAAGCAAAGCCCGTGACACGGAGGGACTGACCGACTGAGTTTGGACTGTGGGGTTTTAAGGAGGATCTGATTTACTCCATGAGGCTTATAGTCTGGGTGGGCAATGGGTGCCCCTCCATCTCCCCCTGACCACACAATAATCCTTCCTGGGATGCTCTGCCCTAACCACAGAAACTTCTCTTTGGTCACAGGTTGCGTCTTCATCGAAGAGAACTTTTCTTTGAAATGTCCCAAGCATAAGGTAGGTGATCACAAGTCCCCTCCCCCCCCCCCTCATTTTTCTTCCCAAGCAGGACCCTGCTTTGGGAGGGATTTTTCCCGCCTACACCAGGAGTCCCTATGCCTACCTCACCCCACCCCCAGCTCCGTGATTCACGCCAGAAAGGACATTGTATACATACAACAGGACATGGGTGATCTTGGGCTTTCTTGAGGGGACCCAGAAGATACTTAGGAGGTCCTCCCCACTGTCCCCCTCCCTAGAGGCACTTGGGCCTAGCATTCCTGAGTTGTGGTGGAGGCACTGGGCAGGGGCTTATTGAAGGGGGTTCTGGGCGGAGCTTCCAGCTGGGCAGGCACTGTTGGTTGGTGGCCTTGAGTTAATTTCAGCTAACAGCGTGTAAGGAAACAGTGCCCAGTCCTGCCCCACCCTCACAATCCTTCATGTGTCCGAGTGGTGTTGTAGCCACTACCAGTCCATCTTGCTGAGGGTCTTCATCTCTTTTGCTGACCTTCTACTTTACCAAACATGGTGTCCTTCTCCAGGGACTGGTCCCTCCTGACAGCATGTCCACAGTATGTGAGCTTCAGTCTTGTCCTCCTCACTCTCAGGAGCATTCTGGCTGTAGTTCTTCCAAGACCCATTTGTTCCCTCTCCTGGCAGACCACAGTATAGTCAGGGTTCTTTACCCACACCATCATTCAAAGCTATCCGTTCTTCTCTTGTCGTTTCACGGTCCAGCTTTCCCATGCATCTGAGACGATTCAAAGTGATGTCTTTGCTTTTACCACTTTAAAGAGATCCTTTGTAGCAGATTTGCCTAATGCTGATAGTTGATCCAAGTAAAATTAAATCCTTGACAACTTTTATCTTTTCTCCATTTATCCCAAAGTTGCTCATTGGTTCAGTTGTGAGGACTTTTGTTTTTTTTACATCGAGGTGTAATCCGTATTGAAAGCTGTATAGTCTTTGATCTCCATCAGTAAGTGCTTCAAGTCCTCTTCACTTTCAGCAAGCAAAGTTGTGTCTTCTATACATCACAGGTTGTTAATGAGTTTTCCTGATGCTAAGTTCTTCATATAGCCTAGTTTCTCAGTCTCTTTGCTTCGTGTACACATTGAATGTTGTTGCTGTTGTTAAGTGCCGTCGAGTTGATTCCAACCCATTGCAACCCTGTATAGGATTTTCGAGGAGCAGCTAGTGAGCTTGAACTGCTGACCTTGCAGTTCAAACGGCTTTGCAGTCTGGTGCATTAACCCACAGCGCCACACCAGGACTCCACACATTGAATAGGTATGGTGAAAAGATACAACTCTCCTGATTTTAAACCGCAGTGAAGTGTTCTGGAATTACTAATCTTTGCAGTGTTGTCTACAGTTTATGATCCACACAGTCAAATGCCATTGCGTAGTCGAGAAAACACAGGTAGACGTCTTTCTGGTATGCTCTGGTTTCAGCTAAGATCCATCTGACACCATACCTCTAATCTGACATCACATCCCTCATACGATGTCTTTTTCTGAATCCAGTTTGAATTTCTGGCAGTTCCCTGTCGATGGATGTATTGCTGTAACCATTTTTAATGATCTTCAGAAAAATTTAATTTGCCTGTGATACTGGTGATACCATCAATAATTTCTGCTTTCTGTTGGATGGGCACAAATACAGATCTCTTCCAGTTAGCTAGCCAGATCAGCTAGCTGTCTCTCAAATATCTTGGCAGAGACGACTGAGTACTTCCAGCATTGCATCTATGTGTTAAAACATTACTACTGGTATTCCATCAATTCCATCCTTGCTTTTCACCAGTATCTTGAGTACAGTTTGTGCTTTTTCCTTCAATACCATTAGTTCTTGGTTGACCTCCTAAAATGATTGAATGTCAGTCATTTCTTTTTGGTACAGTGACTCTGTGTAAACCTTCCTTTGATGCTTCCTGCATCATTCAATATTTTGTCCTTAGAATCCTTCAATATTTCAAATTGAGATTTGAATTTTTCTTGAATTCTATCAGCTTGAGAAATGCTGAGCATGTTCTTTTTTTTTTCAGTTTTCGAACTCCAAGTCTAGGCTCATTTCATTTTAATGCTTTACTTGGTCTTGTAGTGACAGCCCTTGAAATCAGCGTATTCTCCACAGCTCTTTGACATCTTCATTTCCTGTATTCACTTTAGCTACTCTGTGTTCAAGAGCAAGTTCCAGAGTCTTTTCTGACATCCATTTTGCCCTTTTTTTTGCTTTCCTGCCTTGTTAATGAACTTGTACTTCCTTCCTGTATAATGTCCTTGATGTCATCCCACAACTCGTGTGGTCTTCAGTCACTAGTAGTCAATGAGTCCAATTTATTCTTGAGATGTTCTCTCAATTCAGATGGACTAGGTACTCAAGGACGGACTTTGGCTCTCTTGGACTTACTGTAGTTTTCTTCAACTTCAACTTGAACTTGCATATGAGCAATTGATGATCTGTTCTGCAGTAGGTCCCTGGCCTTGTTCAGACTGATGATATTGAGCTTCTCCATCGTCTCTTTCCACAGATGTAGTCGATTTGATTCCTGTGTATTCCATCCGGCGAGAACCACGCATATAGTCGCTGTTATGTTGTTGAAAAAAGGTATTTGCAATGAATGAGTCATTGGTCTTGCAAAATTCTTTCATATGATTCCGGAATTGTTTCTATCACCAAGTCCATACTTTCCAACTACCAATCCTTCTCCCATTTCCAACTTTCACATTCCAATCACCAGTAATTAGTAATGCATCTTGATTACATGTTTGATCAATTTCAGACTGCAGAAGTTGGTAAAAATCTTCAATGTCTTCTTCGGCCTCAGTGGTTGGTGCATAAATTATAATAATAGTTGTATTAACTGGTCTTTCTTGTAGGCATATGGATATTATCCTATTACTTACAGCTTTGTACTCCAGGATAGATCTTGCAATGTGCTTTTTGACAATGAATGTGATGCCTTTCCTCTTCAATTTGTCATTCTCGGCATAGTAGATCATATGACTGTCTGATTCAAAATGGCCGATACCAGTCCATTTCAGCTCCCTAATACCTAGCAATACAGATCTTTATGTGTTCCAATTCATCTTTGACAACTTCCAGTTTTCCTAGATTTATACTTCATACATTCGATCCACGCTCTGATTTTTAATGGATGTTTGCAGCTGTTTCTTCTCATTTTGAGTGCCTCCCAATCTGAGGGGCTCATCTTCTGGCACTGTATCAGACAACGTTCAGAAGGTTTTCACTGACCAGTTTTTTTTACGAAGTAGATCACCAGGCCCTTCTTCCTGGTCTTTGTTTGAAAGCGCTGTTGAAATCTGTCCACCATGGGTGACCCTGCTGGTATTTGAAACACTGGTGGTATAGCTTCCAGGATCATAGCAACCTGCAAGCCTCCAGAATACGACAAACTGACAGACGAGTAGTGGGGGTGGGTCCTAGGAGGAGTTAACCCTTTGTGTGGACTGGACTGTGAATAACGGGCTGTTGGGCATCTCCCCTTTTCTTGCAGAGGCTGCCCTTGTAACCACCCTCAACGGCTGGGGGAACCGGAAGCTACCTGCTGGCCGCTGAAGCAGGCCGCTGAAGGAAAGGAGCCGCCTTGGGGGTGGGGGGGGTCCAGACCCGATCCTTGATCCAGATCCCAGATCTTGGATCCGGCCTCCTGGGGCTGAGACTTGTGGCCTCTGGTTGGGCAGAAAACCCCTTCCAAAGCTACCTGCTCCCAGAACCGGATGGCTAGGCACTCTGCCAGACTCCTTTGGGGGTGGGGGGCACCCAAGCTCTCTAGTGGGTGTAGAAGATGCCTCTGGCCTGGGCTTGTACCACCTCCTGGAAGTTCTGAGATGATGTGGCACACATCCTACATTGGTGTTGCCACCACCCCAGTGGGCTGTGGTACACAGTTGGACTCACTGGGAGTTCAAGGTGTCCTAGGGAAGGTGTAGGGCGACTCCTGACTCCATGATGGAAGCAGGGGGAGGTCAGAGGCTTTCCGGAGAGCACTAGACCCACTGGGGTGGGGACTAGAGCCTCTGGAACAAACTAACCGAGTGCACCTTATGCACCCAGACAGCCTTTGCCCAAGCTTTCTTGTGGTTTGGGCAGGCCCCGGGGAGTCAGGCACCCATGCTCAGAGGATGCCAGCTTTTACATGGGGCTGGACTGGGCTACCCATATGGCTTCTTCTGTTTGTCCTTTTCCCAGTCCTCCACCCCACCCCTGGAGCCCAGTCTAGGAGTGCAAAAGGAGAGGAGCTGCTGCCAGAATTCACCTTTGGCTGATGGGCCCTAGTCTTCTGCACGACCAATGTCTACAGCGCCCGCAGCACGGGAGCAGGGACAGCACAATCTGTGTCAACCTGTGTACCCCTCTATATATATGTTACATAGAATGTATATATGTTGGGAACATGCTCGCTTCTCCCGTGTGCGTCGTGTGCCCTGCAGCACAGAGCCTAACCCAGGCCCTTGCTGGGAATGGGGCTACCAAGATGCCCCTTCCCTACACAGCCACCAAGAGCCTGGGCCAGCCCCTGCCAGTCCGTCCGCCTGTCCATCTGTGTCCTCAGTTCTGTCCATGCTTCAATAGGCCTGATGCAGCTCCCAGAGCGGGCTGCCCTAGCGACTTCTTGTATATAGGACTGTAAAATGGTAAACGTGTGTATTATATCTGGCCTCGTTATATAGTGTATATATATGTATACATATACATATATATAATATATATGAAGACTGTAAATGTTAAGACGACTAGTGTTCTTATTAGTATATTGCTTCACACTGAAGATTGTGTGTATCGAGCTGTTTCTAAAAGATGTTTATTTTCCTTAAGAGTAAAAAAACAGTCATTGCATTCAGAAAAAAAAAGTCAATAAAGATACAACAATTGTTTTGGAAGTCTGCAGCCTATATCCCATGGCTTCTGCCCAGACTCCCCGGGAAGAGCGGCCAGGCTTTAGTTGGGAATGGTGCAGAGGGAGGAAGGGGCTCAAAGGGGGTCCCCATGGCTGTTCCTGGTGGAGCATGTGTACTCAGGGTATGAAGAGAAGACTAAAGGCATGGGTGGGGAGAAACAAAAGTGACAGAAAGGGAGACCCAGGGCAGGATCTCAGTAACGCCACAGGGCCCTGCCATTCTCCTCATGCTGCGGAAGGCATTGTCTAAAGGGCCCCTACTGCTAGGCATGCCTGTCAGCAGAAGCACATACTCCAAAGTCAAATTAGGAATAAGTTTTTTATTCTCTGTACAAAACTTTTCAATCTATGAAAATAAAGTCTGCAAAGGACCAAGTAGCACGTGAGCCCCCATGGCCAGAAGGCGGACACACCCGGATGTACACTATGTACAAGTCTTCCCTGGGTTGCAGGGGATAGCAAAGGAAAAGCCATTCCAAGGCCTGCGAGCCACAGGGCAACCCCTACAGTGGCCACCAGAGGTCAGCACATTCCTGCTGTTGTTTGTCCAGTTGGGGAGCAGTGGAGTGGTGGGGTCTGCCCACATGGGCCTGGGAGGGGTGGGGGACGCAGAGATGGAAGATCACAAGGCCCAGTGCAGCATGAAGAAAAGCGCTGATGATAATCCGAGTCTTGGAGCTGTCTTTGCGGCTCCGGCAGGGGCACCACCACAGGGCCACTAGCTGGAGGTGACAGTGGTCCCGCCGCCCAAGCGCAGGAGCATCTGCTGACAGTCATGCAGCAGCCGGCGGTCACCAAGCTTCTCGAGCGTGCGGGCCGCCTCAGCGAGCATGCCCACGCGCTGCCCGGGAGCTGACAGGAAGCCGGGTGGCAGGTAGCAGGAGGCCAACAGCAGGGCTTCAGCGTGCTCCCGCCTCGTAGGCCGTGGCTCCAGGTCTGTCGCTGCGCCTGCACACAAGGGCTGTGTCAGTCAGTTTGGGGTGGAGAGTACCCGCGGGGTGGCCAGCAAGGGCATGGTCCTGGCCCCTCTTCCCAGACTGCCTTAGGCCCCAGGGCCTGCCTGCTTAAAGATAGGCAGCTGTGTGGCCCATAGATGTTGGTTGTCTATCCGCAATCTTTCAGTAAGATCCTCCTGTCTCAGCACTCCAGGTGGGAGTCCCCATACCTCTCTGGTGGCACACTCACCTCCTTTGCCCCCCAGGCCTGCCCGCCGTCGCAGACTGCGGTCCAGGAGCTGGTGAGTGCGCGTGGGGCTGGCCCCTGCCATCAGCCGGGCTGTGGCCTCATGCAGGAACACCTGCAGGGGCAGTGTCAAGGCTATGGTGATGGCTGCCATAGCTCCTCCCACCCTTCACCAGGCCAGGGTTCCTGCACTCACGCGCCGCATGGCTGGCCGGAAGTTCTGTGCCAGTCTCCGCAGATTGCTCAGGTCCTGCTGGAAGCCACGTAGCTCCAAGGCAGAGGCCTGGGGTCCACCGCCTCTCCCCGGGGAGGCCTGTGCTGGAGCTGGTGGCTGTTGCTGTCGCCACAGGCATGTGCGTGCCACAAGGAGCAGATCACACAGGAGCAGATGGACAGCCTGTGGGGGGTGGGCAGAGCAGGGTCAGGAGGGCCCAGCTTGGAGCACAGCAGTGTGGAAGTGTACACATGCAGTGTAAGAGCAATGCACCATGGGACACCTGCCATCTGTAACCTGCAGGTGGGGACACTGAGGCCACGCGGCAGCAGCAGCAGCCCCAGTCTGAACCTATGGCCCAAGCCTTAGCCAAAAAAGCAAGATCAGCCAGATCCTCAGACCTGTAGAGCTTGGGTTACTCTATAACCTTTGGCCCCTGAAAAGGTCACACCCCTCAGGCCTGCCAGGCCTCCAGCACCACTCCTTACCTTGTCAATGGAGCTGCCAGCTGGCATGGTGTCCAGGCTGTCTCGCAAGTACCCACTAGCCTTCTCACAGAAGGCCAGACTGGCTGGCCCCGACTCTGCCTTACTGTGACTCAGCAGGGCCCGAGCAGCCTTGAAAGCATGCAGGGCTGCCCTGGGTAGGGCTCTCCTGTGGGTCAGGAGAGGAGGGATGGTCAGCCTGAGTCCCAAGCCCTCAGTGTCTCCCCCCCCACTGCCCAGGGGAAAACGGGGCAGCTCATAGCACTCACTCGGATTCCTGTAGGACTCGAGGCAGACGTTCCACCAGTGGGCTCAGCCGCTCAGCTGCCTCCTCGTCCCGCCGCAACCAATGGATCGCCACAGCAACCAATGCAGCCCACCACTTGGCCACAGGGTCAGTGCCTGCCGAGGAGGGAGGCTCTCGAGGGAGGCCCCACTCAGGCCAGCCCCCCACCACCACCACCACCATCACCAAGTCCCAAGCCCTCAGCGATATGGCACTGCTGAGGAGGAGGGGCTATAGGCTCACCAGGGCTGGCCTCGCTGGGGCTAATGGACAGGCTGCAAGCGGGAGACACAACGGCGTCCGAACAGCTGTTAAGCAGCTGCAGGTACCCAAGGGCATCCCTGTGGCAGGAGAGGGCTGGCTGTGAAGACTGGTGGTAGGGATCTCTCCCCCTCTCCCTTCTCTTGCCTGATGGTGGGGAAACTGAGCCGTGAAGAGGATACACGGGGAGGAGGCAGTGGCAGGACCTAGGTCACCTGCACAGGCCTCTGGATGCTGTCACTCCTAGACTCCAGGTGGAGGGGGTCAGGGATACTCACTGGTCCCCATCAGCTAATGCAGGGCCAGGACTGGGCTGGGCCACACAGTTCAGGGCTCGCTCCAGGAGATGTTCACGGAACAGTTGAGTCACCTGGGCCAGGGGGTCCACTGGAGGTGAAGAGGAAAGGTGAAGGTGAGGGTTACACATAGCAGACCATCTGTGCCTGCTTCCATAGGGACATACCCAGGCTTTCTCCCGGGCACATGGGCAGCTTGACCCACACTACAAAGTACCACAGGGCAAGGCCAATGGCAGGAGTTGGTGGATAGATGGCTACTTCTCTACTCATACAGAAGACCACTGAGGTGCTTGGGTCTCTCCGGAGGTCGCTGTGGGCCTGAGTCCTGGTCCTTCCTCTTCCACGGTCTAGTCTATGGCTCCCCTTTCGAGTCTCACTTCCTCACTCTACCACTTCCCAAATAGACAAATGCCCTCCAACCCTTGTCAGGGTTCGCTTCCATGTACCCCAGCAGGGCCCTCTCCCTGCAACCCCTTTAGCTGTAATAGAGGGGGCAGGATGAGGGATGGGGGTGAAAGGATGAAAATGAAGGTTAAGGGAGAGATGAGAACAAGAAATGAGGGCAGAGAACAAGAGATGGGGGCAAGGTGTGGGACAAACAACAAGGAAGAGGGTCAAGAACAGAAACGGATGCAGACAAGGGCAGGGCTGAAAGACAGGGATGGGAACAAGAGATGAAAATAAGCAATGGGACACAGGGAGGGACATGAGAGAGAGAGAATGAGGAACAAAAGATGGGGCAAATTGCGGGGAGGAAGGCCAAGAAATGAAGGATATGGGGGACAAGGGATGGGAATGAGAGCACACCTGGGTTCCCAGCCAAGCTATACAGGCTCTCCCTCTGCGTGCTGTGCACAGCCCAGTCCCCATCCACAAAGAAACGGTGGCCCACAGGATGGCAAAGCCACTGCATGGCGAGAGGCACGGAGCCACTGTGAGCCAGGCAGGCCTGCCGGGCGCTGCTCAAGAAGAAGCCCTGTGGAGGAAAGGAGCTGAGCTGTCACACTGGACCCAGGCCTCAAACCCAGACCCCTCCGCCTCAGTCATAGTGTCCTTGTCCTGGGCAGCCCATGCCCACTCACAGTTAGGAAATGTAAGGACCGAGGGAAACTGGTCTTGACCCTCAGGGCAGCTGCCACATAGATCTCGGCCAGCGTTGCCACGGATACCGAGTCACCCGCACATTCGGCCAGGTTCAGGGCGCCTAGTGCCAGGTTGATGGCAGTAAGGTGTCCACCAACGTATTTCCCTAGAAACAAGCAGGAACCTGAGTCAGAGTAGGGCAGAGGGTGGGGGACCCTAACCCTGCTCCACACCCAGCCATACCCATGGTGTGCAGCTGGTGGAGTTGATGGTAGGCCAGGGCGGCATCCCGGGCGCTGGCACATGCATCTGCCTGCAAGGAGCCACCATTTCGCAGGCCACCTGCCCGGCTGGCCAGCCAGCGGCCCACCCAGAGATGTTGCAGCAGGTGTCTTATGAGGTTCCAGAGCAGGCTACAAGCCAGGTCCAGGTGGGAGGTGGGTAGGGGCCTGCCCAGCACCCGGAGGGCTAACCACAGCTGCTGGGAAGCCTGGACAAAGTCCCCCTGGGAATGTAAGTTTGTTGGGTAAGAGGGTGTCCTTGAGGACACAGCCTATCTCTGCAGGTCCCTTGGCCTTGGTCTACCAGCAAGGCTCTGGCATGCTGGAGACCAGAGGAGCAGACAAGGATGGGGAGAAAAGGGCAGACAGCTGAGGACCAGGAGTGACTCCCTCATTTCCCAGTGCTGGAGCCTGGTGTCCCTTGGGCCCTCCCTGCCTGCTGTCCCAGGGCAAGCCCTCACCCGGGCTAGGTCCATGTCGGCCTGCTTGCGGTGCCTCCAGAAGTGTACAGCGGGGCCTGAGTGCGGTCGTGTGACTGGCTCACCGTAGACAAAAAGCAGTGCTAAGAAGCCTAGCACCAGTAGCCCATTAATCAGCCAGACGAGTGTGGGCAGCAGCCACTGGGCCCAGCCAAAGCTGTCTGGGGGCAGAGGACAGAGCTGCAGGCACAGCTCCCAGGGACTGCAAAGCCCCAAGCCTGAGGCCTGGAGTCTAACCACAAGAGTATCCACCTCTCTCCCAAAGATGCCCAGGATAGCTGGTACCTACCTCTGGCCTCAGTGCCCAGCACATTGCGTCCAGAACCATGGTAGACACTGGTGGCATCCGGAGGGTCAGGGAGGCCCCGCCCACCCAGTAGGGAAGCCAAGGGGTTGCATGACAGACAGAGAAAGCCGAGGGCACACAGAGCCAGGCGGGAGCGGTCCAGCAGACCCCGGCTGCGGGGGGACGACGGTGCGAGCTTCCCCTGGAAGGTGAGGTCGTCAGGGCAGGTGAGGGCTTGGGGCTGGGGAGGGACCTCAGGACTTCTCTCAAGAGGGAGGTGGGACAGACCTTGTCAAGGTGACCTGACCCAGCACTGGTGTTCAGAGGGGATCTTTGGAGGAGGACAGGGCTCAGTGCCACGGGGCCCCACCTGGCTGTCCTCCAAGACCAGGTTGTCGGACTCTGAGTCACTGCCACCACCACTGCCCCTGCTACCAAGGGTCAGTGGGCTGCTTTGGGAGGGTGAGCCGGCATCCGAGGGCGGTGGAGTCAGTATGTCCAGCACTTCTGGCTTTACGCCTTCCATGGGCACATCTGTACTTCCCCCGACACATGTGGACACCAAATCTTTCAGAGATTCTGTAGACGGGCAAAGAGCAGGGCTGCAAGTGAAGACAGGTACCCCACCCTACCAGAATCAGCTGCTGGCCCTGAGTGGAGAAGGCTGGGAGGTAGCTTAACCCCTAAGGTGCTAGAAGCTGGGGTAGAGGCCACTTTAGTGCCAGAGGAAGGCCAGAATTAGAAAGAGGCAAAGGATGAGAGTGAGGGCGGGGCCTGCGCTAGGGGCGGGGCCAGGAATGGCGCCTGGTCAGGGGTAGGAGCCTAGGCCAGAACTCACTGCTCTTGTGGGCAGCAGTCCGCAGACTCAGATTTTCCTGCTTGAGTTTCTGGTTGCTATGTTGTAGGAAGCGGATGTAGTCGATGGCCTTGCGCAAGACAGCTGATTTATTCAGCTGCAGCAGGTAGGAGGGAGAGAGTACAGGAGAGCGGGCTGCTTTAATAAGCAGCTGCCTCTGGGCCTTTGCTGTTCCCTTTACACGGGCTGCCTCTCCCTAGTCAGACCTACCTCCCAGGATGGCAGAAGAACTAATATGTAAGCTGCATGTAACAGTGCTTGACTAGCTGCTACTATTATTAACTTCTTGCCTCCTCTAGGCCTTTGCATAGATGAAAGTCAAAAAATATTGCTACCAAATCGTTGTTGGTATTAATTAGTGCCTTCGAGTTGGTTCTGACTCATAACGACCCCGTGTAGGGTTTCTGAGAAGTGGTTAGTGACTATGAACCGCCTACCTGCATTTCAAACTCGGCGGTTCAAACTGACCTTGCGGTGGAGTGCATTATCCTGATTACGAGTCGGGCTGCTAACCTCAATGTCAGCAGTTCGAAAGGTCAGCAGTTCGAAACTACCAGCCGTTCTGTGGGAGAAAGATGAGGCTTTCTGCTCCCGTAAAGATCTACAGTCTTGGAAACCCTGTGCAGGGTTACTATGAGACAGAACCGACTCCACGGTACTTAACAACAACAGGTTTATAAACTTCACAAGTGTTTCCATTTCTCTAACCACCCCTCCCCATCCCAAATAATTCTGTGCTCCCCAATTTACACCATTGTCAAAATGGCAGTTTGGGCATTCTTTAGGGACACAAAGTGAGCTCCTTCCAAATGTTCTTTCAGTTTGGGAAACAAAAAAGAAGTCTAAAGGGGCAAGATCAAGGCTGGAGAGTAGATGCGATCAGGTTTCCCAATGAAATTCTGGTAGAACCACCCTTACTATCCAGGAAAAATGAGCAGGTGCATTGTCGAGACCGAAAACAATTCCCAAGTGCAACTTTCCTGGGCTTATTCTCATGAATGCAGTTTTCAGGTTTCTTAGAACTTCCTTCTAAAAAGGTCCAGTCCTTTGAGAAAACTATTAAGATGACCCCTTTGGGATCCAAAACCCATCACCATCACCTTCCAAGCTGACCTGTATGCCTTGAACTGACCTGGCCCAGCAGATCCTGTCAAAGGCCACTGTTTTCATTGGCCCTTCTTTGTTGGAGCCCCAACAAGACTACGACAAGTAAGTTTCTGCGAAGCTGTCCGCAGTCATCCACTCAGCACAGAGGCATGTTTAAACATGTTTTGTCTCAAATAAACTCATGCATGCATGAACGGGTACCCTAGTAGCAATACTTTTCAACTTAGTGAAGCCTTCTCTGACCACTCCCCCACCCATAGCCAATGGAGACCTGCCACCTCTCACATCCTTTCTCTGCCATTTCCCTCTGTATCTGGTGTCCTCAAACACTGAGGGCCCCCACGCCCCACTGAGATCACAGCTCCCTGAGGGTGGAATCTGTGCCTCTCTCACTTACTGCTGTGTCTCTGCAGCTTAGAGCAGTCCCTGGTGACCAGGAGATTCTCTATCAAGTTTACTTGGGGCACTGAACCCAAGTCTGTCTGGGCTATAGACCCCGAAGCCCCACCCACCCCAGTCACCTGGCTGTACCCTGCCAGGCCCTCACCCGCACCTTCGCCTCAGTGCCCACAACCAGGTCCTTGAGCTCTATGATCTTATCATTGATGGAAGAGCGATAGCGCTTCTCGATGGCATTGTGGGCTGTGCGCTTCTCACCACGGCTCTGGGCCACACCAGGAGCCTTGCCACTGGCTGCCAGGCGGTTGATGGGCAGCTTGTCCGTGTCCATGACCAGTGGCAATGTGGCCAGGATGGTCCCACTGCTCACCAGGGTCTACAGGCAGCAGCATGGTTATCAGGCAGTGTATGTGTGTATGGGCCCCACACCCCTCCAGCTGCCCAACTGCCTACCTGCAAGGGCCCGGTCTGCATGGCGGCACTGGGGGCCAGCGAGGCAATGCCTGCCGTCTTCACAGTGGCTCCGTCTGTCTTCATGGTTGTCAGAAGCAGTGAGTCAGCCTTGATGAAGTGAGGTTGAAGCAGGACCTGGGGGTGGGAGGCAGGCAGGAGCCATGTGTCTGGGCCTGGGGCAAGCTCCTCTCCCCAACACCAGACCAGATCTGCTTACTGGGACCTGCTGGATCTGTGAGGCCACAGTGGTCGTTCTAGGGGCCGCTGTGGCTGTCAGAAGCTGCTGGGGAGCAGTACTCTGGACCTGGGTGTGCATGGAGCCAGGTGGTGCTCCTGGTAGGGAAGCCTGGGGTTGGCCAGTCAGCATCTGCTGGGAGCTCACTGAAGGGGTGCCTGCAGAGAGATGGGTGGAGCTGAAGGCAGAAGCAGCTGGAACCCACTTTAAAACTGCCCTTTGGGTCTCTCTCACCAGTGACTCTTCCTGGGAGCTGCCTGGGGCTCTGGGCCTATGCTCCAGACAAGCATTTGCATTCTTCTGGGCAGTGCTGATGTAGACAAGCCCTGGCAGAGTAGGATCAGTGCTTACCTGAAGGCCACCTGTATTGCAGTACTGCTCAGAGCAGGCCTTTTAAGTGGCAGAGTGGAGACCCAATCCTAAAATTTGGCAACTCCCTCCCCTCTATCCCAGCAGACCCTCTCCTCCTTCCTGGGCCCCTGGGAATCCACCTCCCTCCTCCCATCACCTCCTTACCTGTAGAGAAGTCTGCAGCAGGGCTGGAGTAGCCCACCACAGGGATCGAACTGCCTAGTGGCGGGGGTGGGGCCGGGCCCTGGAAGCTCTGGGCCAGCAGGGCCCCGGGCTGAGGTTTCGGGACAGGGGTCTGCAGGATGCTTAGTGGCACTGCCTCCTCCTTGATACCAGGACCAGGGGAGAATGCGGGCACAGATGGGTACATCTTCAATGGGGTGGGTGGAGTCTGGGAAGGAGACTGGGGTAGGGGTGCTGTAGCCTTGGAGCCCCCCAGGAGGCCTTCAAGTGGGGAGCCCAGCATGGCAGGCGGCAGGGACAAACTGCTGGGGGAGCTGGCATTGGAACTGGGCAGCTCTGTGCCCCCTGCCCCATCCCCAGCATAAGGGGTGTCAAACAGGCCCGGAAAGTCACTGTCCTGGTTGTTGATGAGTTGAAGCATGTCTGGGAAAGAGAAAGGACATGTGTGTGAGCTGGCACTGGGAGGGCTGGTCCCTGACAAGTACCACATCACACATTGCACATGCAGACCTGCATGTCCTTGTGCACACAGCCTACACTTGTGAGCACTGCCACCTGACACAAGACCACCCACACAAACAAGCCCACGCTCCTGGACCACAACCATTGCTCTGGCCTCTGAGTGATGGCTGGTGGGTGCTCAAGGTGCATCCCAAAGCCCTTGCAACAGCACTATGAGAATCACTAACCTGCTCTGCAGCTGGGACGGAGTAGAGTACGGGCACTACCAACTTGTCTGAACACCTGCTAACCCCTTCTGTCCACAGCACACACACACTCAGGCACTCAACCTAAATCATCCACCATGTGCCCATGCGCTGCTGCTCTAGGTCGTGAACACGACAAGAAAACGTCATTTTTTGGGGAGCTAGAGATGTTGTGGATACTAGTGAGTTTTCACTCCTGTCTTCAGGCAGCAGGCTCTTGAAAGTGTCCAGCTCTGAGCCTTCATACACAACACGCGCACACACACTGTGGGCTCCAAACCAGCCTCTAAGCGCTTGCTCAGGAGATGATAAATCCTTCTAACCAGCCTCTTGCCTGATCCATACTCCATCACTACCCCCAACCAGGACCATCTCTGTGAAGGAGTATAGCCACCAAGCCCAGGACAAAGGGCGTCCAGAAGCCCAGGTATAGCTTTGCCCTGGCCCCACTTGGGACCTTAGTTTCTCAATCTGTGAAATGGGAGCAAGCCTCACAGATCCCCTCCCATCAGGTCCTTGATGGGGGAGACAGATAGACAAGAGCTTCTGGCGGGAAGAGCCTTGGGCCAGGTAGTTTCTGTGCTCATCCCAAAGGGGGCAGGTGGGCACAAGACAGAGGCCCACATTCCACCACTGACCAGTCCTTCCAGGCCATCCTACAGTGTCCTCTGGACACAGAATTAGCCTGCTGAGACATGGACGAGCTCCCTCCAGTTTCCGATGGAGAAGCGAGGCTCAGTGAAAGACAGACTGGCTCAAGATCCTCCATGAACAGCCCCACTGTGAAGCCAGCACCCTACTACTCCCAGGGCAGCAGAGCAGTCCCCCAGAAGGACCCCACCTCAGAGTTAGGACACCTTCTGCCTTCCTGCATGCTGAGTGTGGCAAAGGCAAGAAAATGTAAAACAGGTTATGGCTCAGCCACTGAGAGCAAGGATTTAGACATGGAGGCCCAGTTGAGCCGTCACCCTCCAAAAGCGAGGCTCTAGAAAGGCAGTGTGACCTCAGAACATGATTTACAGACCTTATGTCTGACCCTGCCTGACCCAATGCCTGGACATTTGGCCACATGGAGCTGGAACCCACAGGGGCTTCAGACCAGTTTGTCTTTTCACCATCCTTCCCCACCCCCAAGGAACCCAGGGGCAAAGCTGACATCATCAACCCATTCCTCAGGGGTTCAGGCCAAGCTAGCTGCTGCTCACTCACAGCCAACCAGGGTATCTGTGTTTTCCAGGCACAAACCCTGTGGGATCCAACCTGGCTATTTGGGAATTCTGTCTCTCCTCTATCAAAGGGAGTGCAGCCTGTCCTTCTTTCCTCCTGGTACAGCCCGGGACCCTTCTCCCTTCACCCCAGCCTGGTCACAGCCCTCTCTTCCAGCTGGCAGCCTGCGGCCTGGAAGGCTCAGCCCAGCTCCCTCTAACCCACTCAGGGCAGCCACCCACTGGGTCAAAGGGATCTCTGCAGGGCCTACAACCCAGAAGCCCCTCCCCAGCCCCTGAGCTTCTAGCCCTGCCCACCCCCCCACCCCCCCTTTCAAGGTAGAGCAGAAGTCAGTTGCCTGTTCTACTGGACCTCAGTTGCTACATTTGTAAAACAGAAAAGATCTGACCCTTCTAAGGAGCTGCTAGTTTTGCCCACCTCCGTCCCTCTGACAGGTGTCTTGCAGGAGGAGTTCCTAAAAGCCTCAGCAGAGTTGCGGGCAGGGGATAATACCAGGCTCAGCCTCCCTGGGGTTCTCACTCAAATCCCTTCATAGCCCTCCAAGATTACACAGGTCAAAAGTGCTTTCAACTGAGGATGCCCCACTCAAGAGCCTGGCGCCATCAGTCGGCAAGAGGCCCTGTGAAAATGGGGAAACTGAGGCTCTAAAAGAAAAACTGGCTGAATCCAGGTCTGGAAACCAATGGGTTAGAGACCCCCAAAAGCAGGGCCACCAAACAGGTGCCCAGAGACACGGAAGGACAACTAGATCCCCTCCGCCCTGCTTCCTAGGGAGAAGAGTTTGGAGGAATGCTGTCTACTCCCTCCAACATCTCAGTGCTGATTCGGGTCTCTACATAGCCCTTCCCCTGGGCCAGACAGAGAACTGCTGGGATGGTGGGACGGTCCACAAGCCTCCTCCAGAGGCTCGATCTTAGGTCCAAGTTCCTTAACACCACCGTGGGAACCGAGATAGCACCACACAGCAGAGGTGGGGGATTGTAGCCTAGGGCGAGGGTCCTCAAATACCTTCGAATGTGCAGTCCATGGTTCCACGGCTCAGCCCGCGCCCACTTGGGGCGTCCAGGCGGCCCGCCCTGCCCCGACCCTAGCGAGCGCGCGGAGGACTCCACCTGTCAGCCCGCCCAAGGCTTTAAAGCCAGCGGACCTGCCCGGGACACGCCCCCCCCAGCCGCGGGCCGCGCATGGGGTGAGCGCGCGCGGCCAATCAGCGCCTCGTCACCGCAACCCTCCGGGCCCCGCCCCTAGCCCCGCCCTCAGACGGCGGCGGAGCTCTGGTTTCACCCCGGCACTGAATGAGGCCGGGGTTACTCGTGGGCGCTACCCCTTAACCCGCTCGGCGCCGGAGTTCGCTGGGGTTACTGGCGGTCATAGATTCCCCCAGCTCCAGCCCCATTGGTTCCTTCCATTGATACTGGCGTGGGGTGGGTACAGGGCGCGAAGTCAGGGAGGAGAAGGCTCTAGCAGGGAGATCACTGGTTCCCTGATATCGTAGTCTCTGTTGCTCTAAGCCTGCTTAACTCCTCTAGAAAACGGGACAGTCACGTTTCCCTTAGCGGTGAGTGGGAGCAGTAAGGAAGATAAGTACCCAAGGAACGTTGAACAAGGCCTAGGACCGCCTGGTGGTGACTCCCACTCCTAGGTCAACCCCACTCCTGGGGGAACTGATGGGCTAGGATCCAGGGGAAACCCCTAGCCCGCACCACACTTCCAGGTAGTCCTCAAACCCTGGTATCCTGACTCCCAGTACAGATGTCCTTTCTGGGGAGTGTGGCAGGGAGGAATGCTGAGCCTGAGATAGAATGAGGTCTACCCTTTACCAAAATATCTCACAGTCCCTCAGCACTCACCAAGGGCAGCCCACTCATTTATTTGCCCTAAGGTTTGGGGGTGCTGATTAGGGACCCAGTCCCTGACAAGGGTGAGGGAACTACAAAACACAGAGGCAGGGGATCTACTCTAACGTGGCAGGCTCTTGGGGCCTTTTGGAGGGCACCTGTATGAAGTAAAGGTCAGACACACACAAGGACTGAGCCTGGCCGGCAGCTCTGGCTGCACATTCTGGCTTTTGAGCAAGAGGCCTTCGCAGCCAAGCTGACAAGCATTGAGACAGAACTGGCTGTCCCTCTTCTGGGCTCCAGGCCCAGCCTCCAGAGAGAGGCTGAACCAGGGCAGTCAGGGGCTACAGGGGGCTGGGGTCCCGTCTGGTCCCGATTTCTCTCCCTTTCCAGGAGCCATTTTCACCTTACAGCTCCCAGACCTCACTTTCCCAGATGAGGTCCTCAGGCCCTCTCTTCAAAGGCCTGGGGAGGGATTCCAAGGACCACACAATTCTCAAGTACCTTAGCACCTTCACACACACTCCCCACCCCACCCCACCCCCACACAGAAAAGAAGCCCACTTTGGCCTCTCCTGTGGAATTTAAGGCAAGGCCGAAGCTTTGACCCACAAGAACTCTGATTTATGGCTGGATCCCAGGCCTCAGAATGTCCTAAACACAGACCACTAGCTACACTCTTTCATCATGGAGACTTTGTGGCCAGGAGCAGCAGGCTCTAGGGCACTCAAGTAAAGATGCAGACAGGAAGATGACTGGGGTCTCTAGGTACCAAGTATCATGAGGAGAAGCCTGCCTCCTCCAGAAATGGGGTGTGAGCACCTCCAGGCCCCCATCTCACTCCCTCAAATTTGGGTTCCCATTTCACTCTCTCTAGGGGCCAGATCTGCAGCCAACTTCCATAGGAGAATCTGGGTGCCAGGGCTGACTGTGGTGGAAACTGGTGCGCCAACCCTCACACACACATATACCCTGTGGGTGCAGCCTGAAGTCACACACAGAGTTGGGCCACCCTCTCCCCTGAGCCTGTGGGGAATGAGATCTAGGATAACAACTCTGCAAAACACAAATACTGCTCCTTCCCAGGGAGGCAAAATGAATAATCCAGAATGGGAAGGATAAGTGGAAACTGCCTGAAGTCTTCTTATCAGAGCTCCACAAGCCCTTGGCAGGGATTTTTATTTTGAAGGGGTATTAGTAGGTCCAGGGAGTTCTGGTGTGACGCTGTGAGCTAATAACGCACCAGACTGCAAAGTCGGTTTGAACTACGAGGTTGGTGGTTCAAGCTCACCGGCCGCTCCTTGGAAACCCTATACAGGGTGGCTATGGGTCAGAAGGGACTCGATGGCACATAGTAACAATAATAACGGTGGGTCCAGAGAGCAGCCTGGGGTGCCAAGCTTGGCCACAGCTGCAGTCCTGCATATTAAGGCCACTATCTCCTGAGTGATGACACCTTCTCACTGGGTTCTCAGCAAGATTCTAAAGCACCGCTGGTTCCTAGAGCACACTCTGCACTTGGGGAGAGAGCGGAGGCACAGGCTCAGACTTCAGTGGGTTTGTACTTGCAACGCCCAAATAGCAGTCTTTTTCCCTCTTCCTCCTCTTCTCTGCCCTGTCCTGATTCTATCAGGGTCCAACAGGAAACTTGAACCCCACCTCCCTCTCTCCCCTTCAAACCTCACTCTGAAGGCAGACTCAGGCAGGGCAGCCTTTAATTCCTATTTATTCAGTGCCAATGTCTTCAGGGCAGATTTGTTCCCTGAGGCCCCATGATCTTTTTTTTTTTTTTTCTTAAATGTTTTATTGTGAATTATGTGATAGTTTACATGGGAGAACATTAGTTTTACATTCATTCTATCGTATATCTTCTCATTGCCATGGTTACAATCCCCTTCATGCAATCCTTCCCCAGTGCCCCCCAGGTCCTCAGCACACTGTTGCTTTCTCTCTCTGGATCTAAAGTCTCCAGCTGCTCCATCGCTCCACGTCATCATCTCTGCCTCCGTTTCAGGCATCACTTTTTCTCTGGATAGGGTCCCGCTCTCTGCTCTTCTCCCTTGATGGTCCTAGGGGCCTCCACTCCTAGACTGAAAAGTTAATCACTCCCCTCCTTGCTATAAAACATCTACCTTTACATTTCCAACCCTCACAATCAGTCCTGATAACAATTATTCACTATTGTATCACAAGAGACCCGTCTGCATTTCATTGCATCAGCCCCGCCTAGACAGATTGAATACTACACACTGGAGATTCTACCTTCCTCCAGGCCCTCTGGATCTAGGTTCCCTCTTGAAAGCTTGTAAGCCAGTCACTTCTTGCCTTTGTAGCCCCCTGCTCCCCATTTTGGGTAGCCAATGTCCAAGTTGCCCATCCCTGTCTACTCTGTGTGTGGAGGGGGTGGGAATGATTCTTGCTGTAAGGACTTGTTCCCTCTTTTGAGCTGCTGCTTCCATAGGTGTAGGTCAAGTTCATCAAATTATATGAGAATACTTTTTTTTTTCCACTTCTTTTTACTTCTGGTTGAGCTCTGATCATCCAGTCATTGAAGCCAGGATAAGTGGGTATTATCTGCAAGTGTGGGTGTTCTTATGCATATGCCCTCTCTTCTTATCAGCTGGACTCTTCACTCTCCACTCTAGTCCTCTGTGTCTATGTCACTGACTCTGGGCCCAAGATTGCCCAGGTCCCAGGTCTTGCCAACCAGGTCTTCATCCGGGTTCACAGAAGTCTATTGAACGTTGTAGGGCTTAGCTCACCGCTTCATTGCTGTTTTTCCCTCACTTCCCCTTATCGGTGTCGAGCGTGGTCACCAATCAGAGCGTGTATTCCCATTGAGTCTTAGTCATGCCATGATCTTGCATGAGCCCAGTGCTGACCATCACAGAGTTGTGGAGGCCAACAGGGGTGTGCGGCCAAGAGGTCATGAACCCAGCTGTTAAAAGGCCTTGGATCGCCAACTCTGCTTGCCCACCTCCTGGGACAGAAAGCATACCAGCCTTACCCACAAAGCCTACAGTTTGCTAGCACTTTCTATTTCCAAAGTGTCTACTATGTGTCAGGCCTGTGCCAGGTGCTGGGTAAGCAGCTGAACAGCTCTGGAATTTCCCTCATGGAGCTTCTATCCCAGTGAGGAAGACCACACAGACAAGCATGGCTGTATGCAGCAATGAACACAGTGGAGAAGCTGAGGCAGAGGGAGCCAGGCAGGGCTCTGGGGACATGCTATCTGAATACAGCCCGAATGAAATGAGGGAGGGGTTCAGAAAAGGAGGAAGAGCCTTCAGGGTAGAAGGAACAGAAGGCACCAAGGCTCTGGCATGGAAGCAGCTTGGGGTGATGGAGGGGCAGTGTGGAGGTGTGTGTGGGGGATACCAGGAAGGTAGCTAAGGAGTTGGGATTCCACCTGGGGGGTCATTGCCTAAGCCAAGGACATTAAGACTGATTCTCCAGGGACTGGGCATGAAATTGTCCTGTGCAACAGAGACCACAACTCTGCACAAACTTTGAAAGAAGGTACACAGTGTCTGTTGGTTGGCACCATCACCACTCATGGACTCCCAAGATCACCACCTTAGGTGCTGATGAAGACCATGGAGCACGGATGGGGCAAGTACTTTGGGGAGCTGCAGATGTACCCAACTGCCTCCTTGGTAATGCAGGTTGGCTGGTTCTTGTGTCCTTGTTGGTCAAGGATGCAATGGGGCATGAGGCTGCCCTTTGTGTCACCTAGCTGCCCTGGGGATCACGTGTATGCTGGCTCCTCCTGGAATGACTGGGCACGAGTCCTCTGGCAGATGAGGAAACTAAGGCTCAGAGGAAAGCCATGGACCCAAGGTGCCCCATGTGCCAAGCTAGGGTCTGGGTCTGCAGACTCATATCCACACTATTCACACCTGGCTTTATCTGGCTCTGTTCCCTTTGCTGTCACTATTTCTTCCAGCTCAACCAATGTGTGTGGAAAGAAGTCGGGACGAGATGCCCAAAGTTCTGGAGGGCCCAACTCCAGCCCTGCTCCTCCCTGAGGCCTGCAGACCACTGCCCCTGGCCCACTCCCACCTGCCTCACCAGATCAGAAGCCAGGTCTCATCTGGAAGCGCTTCAAGTGAGGCCAAGGCTGCATCAGCTCCGGCACCTGGCCCAGGGCTCACACAGGGCACTACCAAGCTCAGCATGGTGGGGAACATAAGCCTCCAGCATCCCTGCTAGCCTCTGGCCATGTTTCTGAGGCTGTCCCTTCTGCAAGAAATACCCTTCCTCCATTCGCTGTGCACCTAACAAACTCTGATGTCACCTTCTCACAGGTCCTACACACCGGCTGACCCTACTGCCATCTATTAGGCTCAGCCGAGTATTCTGAATTATGCTGAGCCCATCCTGTAACCTGGAGATGCAGCAGATGGGTCAGAGGCGGTCAAACATCCTGGCCCAGGTATGGCCCCAGGCTCAGACAGAACGTTCCGAGCATGGAGCGGAGGTGCCTTTTTGGATAGTCTTCTGATGCCAGGTAAATACCCTCAGTGAAACTGTGCCCTTCTTTGTATAAATTAGGCCTCCCCTCCAGGCCTGTTGCCCTGCAGCCAATTTGAAACCTGCAATAGGGGTGCCAGTTCACAGGTGGCATGCTGACTCAGAGCTGCCAAGCTGGTCAAGACCCTCCTGCAAGGCATCCCATTTCCCCAGAGCACCACCAGCATTGGGTTTTATCATTTTTCTTTATTTCTGGTTGTTTCGCTTCACCTACCAGCTGTGTGACTGGAACAACAAAGATGCTCTGATTTGCATCTCCAAGGCTGTCCTGATGTATTCTGTGTGCAGTCAGCCATCAAGGGTTAGAAAACTCAGCAAGACTTGCTTCTTTCCTTCCCTAGCTGTCCCTACCCCCACCCCCCAACTCCTCAGCAGGGTCCTCACCCTTGCACCCTGAGAAACATCTACTGCGCTTAGATTCCCTGTTGCTTCCCCACAAACTTCCAGCTGTTCTCCAGTGGTGGCCCCTGGGCCTGAACCACTGTAGATGAACCCAGTCCTGACCATCACAGCAGATGATGTGTACTATACTGTACACCAAGGGGCCTCTAGCAATACAGTCTCTGCTCTTTCGTGGCAGATAAAGAGGGGGTAGTTTCTCCCCAGGAGTAAGAGAGGAGGTGGGATAGTTTCTAGCTGGCCTTGTCCAGGCCCACCTTGCTTTCCATTTTGGGACTCAGAACTTTGAATCATAGGCTAGAAAATTCTAGAAACTTCCAACACAGGCTTCTTGAATAATCACTAACAGTTACTGAGCTAAACATATCAGGTACCAGATGTTGACGCAGAGCTTCAAATTATGAGCCGCCACTACTAAGTGGCACTGACTGGGGACCAGCTGTGACCACCCCACGTACACACTCCACTTGAACTACTCCTTTGATCCCCAGAACCCCAAGATGCTGGTTCTATTTTGTTCCCACTTGTACTGATTACAGCCTGAAGGTCAGAGATGTTAAACAGTTTACCCAGGGTCATGAAGTAGGGTCTGGATGTGGAGACAGGAGCCCCTGCCCTCTGGCTGCAGGGAGAATGGGACCCCCAAGGCCTGGAGTGTGACTAGAAGAAGCAAAGCCTACAGTGGGGAGCTGGACAGTGGGGAGCAAGTTCCACGCAGGATGGGTCTCTCCATGTCACAAATGCACCTCCCACAGCCTGTAAGTCTCCCCTGCCATCCCCTCTCACCAGGACCCCAGCTAGATGCCTTTCTCAGGCTCTCCCTGCCCACCATAGCCATCTCTGTGGAGCCTTGTGGGACGTGGGACTTGCACACTGTGTGGACCCCGTCAGTCCCAGAGTTAGAGGGTGTATCGAGAGGTTAGAGGGTATAGCTCACAGGAGAGAAGGCCACAGTGCAACTTCCATCTGGGCGACCCAACCGCACCTGACAACAGTCCCAGGTCTCAATGCAGCAGTGACCCCTGCCTGGAGCCGACCCAATCACTAAGGATGTTTGTGTCTGGCTGAGTAACAGGCAAGAGGTAATTCCCAGCCATCTGCCTGAAAGTCTCCCTGGGACCCACTCCTAGCACCTTCCTCCCCGTCAAAGTCTTCTCAGTGGCACTAGGGCTGGATCCATGGCAGCTCAGAAAAGCAGGGAACCACCATTCATGGCCACACAGGTAGGGCTTTCTGTGGCACCATGGTAGGACAAGGGGTGGCAAGGGAAGTGAGTGTGCAGGCTGGACCCTAGGGCTTAAGGCCACTCAGAAATGAAGGATGGCACCTTCGAGTATTGGGGAGATATGGAAGTTTGGGGAGCTAGTGAGTTCTGTACCCAGAGCTGGGAATTGGGCAGTGACAAGTCTAGAATTATTTTTCCCAGGAGTGTCTGTGCTTGGTATGGCCAGGAGGAGTTCTGGAGACAGAGAACCTGGGGAGAGGAGTGGGTGGCATGTAGCCCCTCTGTGCCATCTCTATCAGAGAAAAGGCCTCTCCTGTGGTGACGATACGCACTTTGGGAAGGACCCCCCAGGCTGGGAGAGAGAAAGGGAATAGGGAGGGGGATCCAGGAGGGCATCATGGGAAAGTCATGCATGACTTTCTGGCAGTCACCAGGGTGAGGCAGACAAGGACAGATGTGGACGTGCTCCAGGCACCGTGTCACCAGACAGTCAGGCCCTGTCTCCTGGTGATACATGCGGCCCCTTCCCGATCACCCTGAGCTCCATCTGCAGTCACCTCTTCTGCAATTAGGAGTTTGTGAAAAGATTAGATACATTCAGCCTCAGATGGAGGTGGTGGTGGCTCTGGCTTAGTTACAGCCTGCAATGTGTGCAAGACTCTCTCCTCTGGAGTACTTACAAGGCAGAGGCCCTGAGCACACAGAGCAGACTGGACTCAAACCCAGGGCAATTTCCTGACCCACAGAGATAGGACTCAGGTGGCAGCTCTACCCCATGATATGACAGAGAGTTTGGCAGAGGCCTTTAGTTGGCTCTCCAGGGCCAGTCTCCAGTTTGATGACTCAGATGCCACTCTGGGTGGGGAGAAGGCAGTGGCTGACCATTTGCCCTCTGATCCCTTTGGGAGTCACTCACAGTATAACTTACAGAGAGCTACCTCCTACGTTCCCTGCTCAATTTGCTGTCCCTTTCCCTGCCCAGTCTTAGGATTGTACTGATTAAGAACTTGAATCCAGACTCCGTATGGCCTGGCTGTATGACAGTCTCCTCTGTAAGATGATTAACATCTATCTTCTTGGGGTTGTTGGAGGATTACAAAGATGGCAGCACAGGTCTAACATATAGTAAATGTTTAATAAATGTTACCTGCTTATGTTATGATCCTCCTCCTAAGCAGCCAGCAAGAACTTCTAAAACACACCCTGCTCAGACTGCCCCCTCTGGGGGGAGGTTCCCTACTGCCTCCTGGATCTCTAGCCTGGTGCCCCCATTCCTCACCCTGGACTCCTCCAAAGGTAGACCCAGCATCCCCCTCCCCAACCTGGTCCTGGGGCTGACTGAGGCTCTAACAGGTCTCTGCCTGGAGCTGGAAATGGAAGTTCATTGTGAACAGACAGGAGAGGTCTGTAAAACTGACGATAGTTACATACTTTGCATATTTACAAAAAATCCTTGAATTGTACACTTAAAACAGGCACATTCATGGGTACATTCATGGTAAGCAAATTATATTTTATGGTATGCAATTTATACCTCAATAAAATGATTTTCTTTTTTTAAAAGTAGATTGAAAGTGTGCAGCCATGCCAAACCATATATATTAGGGGCTTCAAAAAGTTCTGGGGAAATTTTCATTATCGTTCAATTCTATTTTTCCACAAACTTTTTGAAGCCTTCTCATACACATAAGGAACTAATCCCCCAAATAATTACTAGGGTTTATCTCTGGGTGGTGGGTTTAAGGAGAATTTTATTTTTTTTCTTTGCTCACCTGCATGGTCTAATTTTTCTACAACGAAAAGACTAATTGTGAAATTGGGGGAATAGTACACACAGCTTAAGTAAAACCCTCTTTTGCAGTGGGTAAACCTCCATGTCCTCCCAGTCCCCCACCCCCAGCAAACAGGGGTCCCCAGTGTCCAGGGGCCTCAATGTTTCCTCATCGCTTGGACAGCAAGGGCCTGAGGTGCTCCCCAGGGCCGGTATTTGAATCAGGGAAGATAACTGTTGTAAAACTTAGCTGATGAGAAATCTAGGCTGGTGTTGGTGGGATGCATTATCTCCAGTTCCACACTCCCAACTCCCGTATGGGGGCACTCTCATCCTTATTCTTTCAGACAGGAAAACTGAGGCCCAGAGGACCTGATTCAGGTCCCAGTTCTGACTCTCACGGCACACCCACTGGCACTACACTCAGGCCTGGAATGGCCTGAGTGAGGCCCAGGGAGCTCTGAGGTTCAGAGCAGTGCCGGCAGCCCCTCTTGCAGAGTCTGGGACAGGCTGCCACCAACCACTTGACCAGCTTTGAAAAACTTCTTCCATCAGGTTCCCTCCTTCTAAGCTCTTTCCTCCCATAGCACTAGAGCTGGGGTGGAAAACGTCAGATCCACGGGCAGTAATGTTGCTGTTGTTAAGTGCTTCTGACCCACAGCGACCCTGTCTATACAAGGAGCGGCTGGTGAGCTTGAACCGCCGACCTTGAGGTTCAAAGTGACTTTGCAGTCCAGCGCTTTAACCGACAGTGCCACCCGAGAACTCCGCGGGCCTATAAAACCCACAAAAATCATACCGCAGTTCCAGCTGTCACATTAGAGATGAGTTAAATGTTTGACCAAATATAGCAGGCTAAGTTTTAAGTTGATAATTTTGTATGGGTCCATGAATGATGTTATAAATTTTGGCAGAAAAAAGGTCACCACCCCTGCACTAGGGATAGGTCTAATCGGCAAGGCTGCAGTGTGGTAGGAGTGGGAGGCTCAGACTGTTAAACCCACAGACATGGCCACCCAGGTTATGTGAGGTTCTCAGCTTGCTCCTGGGCTCTTGGTCTCAGTATTCCCACTAGTCATTACAACTCGGCCCGTGTTCCTCAAAGTCCCACACAGCAATCTTGACGCAATAATATGCCAGAACAGTGCACAAACAACAGCCCCTGACCGGTGTACTTGCTGCCACTGGTATCCCCAAATTCAGTCATTCCTGCTCTTTTGATGGTTTTACCCCTCACCCCAACGTACAACTATTTATCTATTTACGGGTTTGCGTGCTTGTGCATCTCACCGGACCGAGAGCCAACCCAGTCCACCGAACCCTAGGGGAGGGGCGGGACCGGATGTGCGCCTGCGCAGGAGCTCTTGCGCCGCGCTGAACTCCTCGACCCAAGGGAATGACCACAAGTAACCCCGCGCTAACGTCACGGTCGGAGGTGGCGCTGTCCTGGCGATTCCGGATCTCAGCTCCCACCGCGGCCGCCCGGGCGGGGGGCGCGGGAACCTGGGCACCTGTGACACTAGAGTAACTTGGGCGCGATCCGGCGTGGGATCTCTGCGGCCCGGGGACACCGGAGAGGCTCGGCGGGGCCCGGAAACGCCAAGCGCACAGCCCAGAAACGCTGGGGACCCGCGCTGCCCACCGCCGTGCAGCCGGAGGGACGATTCTCCCGGCCCCTGCCCCTTGCTCCCACGCACCTTCGATGTCGGTCAACAGCGCAACGTCCAGCTCGCACGGCGCGGCTAGCGCCTGGTCCAAGGCCACCTCACTGAAGGGCGGCCCGTCCATGGCGCAGCGCCTCCTCCGGGCGGCCCACAGGCCCCCACGACCTCAGCGGCAGTCCGGCGCCCACGGAAAGGCCCTCGGACGCTGGACTCCGCTGGCGTCGGTGGTCAGTGGGCGGGCACGGCGGGGCGGAGCCGGGAGCCAAGGCCACGCCCATCACCGTCTAGGGCTCTGCCCCATCTGGGCAGAGCCGGGAACCCCAACTTCTGATCTGTGGGCCCGCCCCGATACACCCCCTCTTCCCCCTCAGGCCGGCCGCTCTCGCTCATTTACTCCAGCCTCAAAAAAGGGCAGTCAACTGTTTGGAAGCCCTGGCAGGTCACTACCCTTACCTGAGACTCAGTTTCTCCATCACCAAGTTAGGGAAGCCGAATGGAAGCCCCAGGACTCAAGGTCTACCTGTAACAGAAATACAAGTGGATAGCTTTAACAAGCAAATTTATTTTCTTACAGTTTAGGGATTACTAATCTCTGTCCTGGTGTGGCAATGTAGGGTGGACACTGGACTGCTGACCACAAGGTTCACGGTTCAAGCCCACCAAAGGCTCCTCAGAAACCCTACTCAGAGTCGCTATAAGTCAAAACCGACTCCACCTCAACAAGTAGTCGGAATTCAGGGGGCTGGTTCTAGGGGAAGTCTTTTTCTCTTTCTGTTTATGTCTGAGCTTCTGATCCTGGGCAGTTTTCTTGTAGCATGTTATCTCTTCCCCAATCTCTGCTTTACTTGTTTAATCTCTTTTATATCTCAGAAGAGATTGATTCAAAATACACCCTACACAAACCCTGCCTCATAACATAGCAAAGACAAGTCTTTCCCAAATGGGATTATAACAATAGGTATGTTGTTGAGTGCTGCTGTCAAGTGGAGTCTTAGTGAACCTGTATCGGGTTTCTGAGGCTCTTAAATCTTTTCCAGAGCAGAAAATCTGGAGAGTTTATCTCTGAAGGAGCCACTGGTGGGCTCAAACCATCGACCTAGTGGTTCTCAGTCCAGTGCTTATCCTACAGAACCATAAGCACTGTTGTTCCTGTTAGATGCCTTCAAGTTGGTTCAGACTCAAATCAACCTTATGCACAACACACTGAAACACTACCCCATCCTGTGCCATTCTCAAAATTGTTGCTTAAACCCTTTGCTGCTCTGCTTTGTCAATCCAGCTCACTAGAGGGGCCTTCCTTTTTTCCCTCAGACTGGCCACTTTATCAAGCATGATGTCCGTCTCAGGGTCTAGTTCCTCCTGATAATAAGTCTGAAGTATGAGAGACAAAGTCTTGCCATCCTGGTTTCTGCAGAGCATTCTGGCTGCACTTCTCCTGAGACAGATTTATTCTTCTGTTAGCCCATGGTACTTTTAATCTTATTCTACAGTACCATAACTCAAATGCACAGATTCTTCTACAATCTGCATTATCCAGTATCCAACATGCACATGTGGCAATTGAAAATGACCTGGCTTGAGTCAGGCACACTTTAGTTCTTAAACTTTGCTCCCTAGCATTTTAAAGAGGTCTTATGCAGCAGATTTGCCTAATTTAATAAGTCCTTTGATTTCTTGACTGCTGCTTCCATAAGTGTTGATTGTAAATCCAAGAAAATTGAAAAAATCGTGAACAGCTTTAATCTTTTCTCCAATTATCATGATTTTATTAGTGCAGTTTTGAGAATTTTTGTTTTATGTTGAGATGCAATCCATCCTGAAGGGCTGTAGTTTATTTGATGATTTCCACATTCTGTTGGTCACCTCTCTTTAGAATGGGCACAAATATGGATCTTTTTCCAATCACTTGACCAGATGAGTGTTCACCTCCAGAGCTGTATCAGTTTGTTGAAACATTTCCATGTGTATTCCACTAATTCCTGCACCAGTGCCTTTAGCTCTTTTACTTCCTCATTTCTTCCATGTGCTTTAGCTCTTTTGTGCTCAAGAGCAAATTTCAGTTACTTCTGACATCCATTTTGGTCTTTTCTTCTTTCCTATCTTTTTAATGACCTTTTGCTTTCTTTCTGTATTGATGCTATCCAACAATTCTTCTGGTCTTTAATCATTAGTGTCTAATGCACAAAATCTGTTTTTGAGATGATCTCTAAATTCAAGTGGGATATATTCAAGATCATACTTTGGCTCTCATGGAGTTGTTTTCACTTTTTTCAGCTTCAACCTGAACTGCTTATGAGCAATTGATGGTCTGTTTTGCAGTCTGACCCGGACTTGTTTTGGTTGATGATATTAAGCTCTTCCACTGTGTCTTCCCACAGATGCAGTCAGTTTTATTCCTGTGTATTCCATCTGGTGAGATCCATGTGTACAGTTGCCATTTATGTAGTTTACAAAACGTGTTTGTGATGAATAAGTCATTGGTCTTGCAAAATTCTAATATGCGATCTTCAACATCATTTCTATCACCAAAGACATATTTTCCAAGGCCAAATCCTTCCTCTTTATTTCCAATCTTCGCCTTTCAATCATCAGTAATTATCAATGCATATTGATCGAATGTTTGATCAATTTCAGACTGAAGAAGTTGGTTGTTGTTGTTGTTGGTAAGTGCCGTCGAGTGGGTTCTGATCCATAGAGACCTGGTATAGAGTTTCTGAGGAGCAGCTGGTGAGTTTGAACTACTGACCTTACAGTTAAAACCAACCTTGTGGTTGAGTACTTATCCTATAGCACCATACCAGAATTCTTTAATTCCATCTTCATTGGCTTTAGTGGTTGATGCATAAATTTGAATCATAGTGGTATTAACAGGTCTTCATTGTAGGAACATTTCAAGATCTAGTGTAAAGTACAATATAATGCTGCCTATGATAGCGTTCCTTTTAATGATGAATGTGACACCATATCTCTTTGTCATTTTGAGCATAGTTACCATATGATTGATTCAAAATGGCCAATACCAGTTAATTTCAGCTTATCAATGCCTAGGATGTTGATCTTTATGCATTCCATTTCATTTTGAAAACTTCCAATTTTCCTAGACTCATACTTCATACATTCCATGCTCTAATTATTAATGGATGTTTGCAGCTGTTTCTCCTCATTTTGAGTTGTGCCCTATCAGCAAATGAAGGTTCCAAAAGTTTTGCGACATTCACGTCGTCATAGTCAACTCTGTTTTGAGGAGGCAGCTCTTCCCCAGTCATTTTTTGAGTGACTTCCAACCTGAGGGGCTCATCTTCTGGCACTATATCTGATAATGTTCTGCTGCTATTAATAATGTTTTGGTCTTCTTGTAGTATATCTGACAATGTTCCACTATTATTTATAAGGTTTTCAGTGACTGACCATTCTTCCTAGTATGTCTTAGTCTGGAAGCTCTGCTGAAACCAAGAGTAAACCTGCTGGGTTTTGTTTTAGTTTTAAACTTTTTATTGTGTATTGAGTGAAGGTTTACAGAACAGATCATCAGTTTTACATTCAGCAAATCATATAGTTTACTTCGTTGCAATGATTGCAATCCCCCCCATGTGCCATCAGTTAACAGTATTTACCTTTGTTTATTTTAGTGATTGCATTCTTCCCTGTGTCTCCCGCTACCTTCCATCTTTCTTCTGCTAACCTCCCTCTTGTTGTATACTGCCGTCCCTGTTAACATGCGTCTATTCTCTAGCCCGCCCCTGTGACCATCACAGATTGTTTCTTTTATTAAGAAAGCCTTTTCTTAACTCTTTGCAACAGTGGTCTCAAGATATTTGTCTTTTTGTGACTGACTAATTTCACTCAGCATGTTGTGATGTGTTTTGTAGATGCATTATTCCTCAACAGTGCATAGTATTCTACTGTATATACGTACCAAAGCTTGCTTAGGCCTTCTGTTGATGGACATTTAGGCTGTCTCCATCTTTTGGATCTGCCTATTGTAGATCCTGTGTGTGTAGTTAAGAGAATAGAAGCGTGTATACCATTCTAGTTCACCATTAATGCACCTCAGTTTAGGGTGGATTTGACTGCTGTCTATAAGGAGCTCTGGTAGTGTAGTGGTTACGAATCGGGCTGTGAACCTCAAAGTCAGAAGTTCGAAACTACCAGCTGCTCCGCGGGAGAAAGATGAGGCTTTCTGCTCCCGTAAAGATTTACAGCCTCGGAAACCCTGTTCAGGGTCGCTGTGGGTCGGAACTGACTCCATGGCACTTAACAACAGCAACATCATTGATCAAGTACTATAGGAGCTGGTACTCGCTCATGCCCAGTGGGTGGTATGGGCACGGTTGCTGTCTCCTGTTGGGTGGGAAAGACAAAACCCCTCCCCTTCACACATACATAAGAAAATAAAAAAGACTAATAAAACAAGGAACCAACAATGAAAACAGAAAATGATAAAGGTGGTGGTGGGGAACAACAAGAAGTTGCAACCAGAAAAAAAAAGATATAACAGTTATCAAGACCAAAGAGGGACAGGGAAATAGAACATAAAAGAGAGAAAATAAAGGGATGAAAATCTATAAAAGTCAGGGGGATGATGAAAAGTCAAGGGGATGATGAAAAGATAGAGTTGAGAGTAGTAAAGCGGGGTCAAAAGGGAAAGCAAAGAAGAAGGGAAATGAGAGACAGAAGAAAAGAAGGGGGAAAAAGCGGATATAGAAAGGATAAAATTCAAGGGAATGGAAAGAGAAGAAGGAAGAGAAAGACGAAACAAACAAAAACAATGAAACAACCAAAGGCATAAAATAAACCCCAAAAGCAAAACAAAAAAAAGATAGCGCAGTTGTTGGACCCAGGGAGGAGACAACTCTGGGAGCTCCTGCAAGTCAAGGATCTCACGCACTGAGTCTCTGAGGATGTGACAACCAAGTTCCTGGGCCTAGATGGAGTTTCTATGGCCTGTATGCTGTGTTCAGGGCACTCAATCTAGAAGTCGTTTGTGGAGACCCTTGATGGAGTTGGGGTCAGTGTCTGTTAGGACCCCAGGGCAGCTGAGGGCAGGGTGACTGGTTAAATGCTAGTCTGGTGGCTCTGTAGGTTCTGTAGGTCTGGAGCCAGGCCCACCTGAATCCAGGTACC